GGTCCAGGGTGAACTCTGCCTCTGGCCCATTCCTGAGCTGAGAGACCCCAGGAAGTGTCAGCTGGGGAGGCCTGCACAGAGCCTCCTCTTGTCCAGGGTGACCAACACTGGATATGACGTGTTGGTGAGGGGGATTTCAGATGGGAAACTTTGTTTCTCTTCTTGTATTGGAAGAACTCTGCTTTTCTCTCCTTATTTAATTTGGAACCTATTTTTTTTAAAGATATAAACCTGGCTGGGTAGAAGATATTTTGCCACAAGAATACATATTTGATCTCAGAAAAACTTTTGAAAGTACTCCTGGACAATGCAATCCTGCTGACATCTTCGGATCATATCTCCAGGGTCCTCATTGATCAGGTTATTGTAAGAAAGTTCACAATTTCCCTCTGAAGGTTCCAACTGAGTCTGCTTAGATGAACTGTCAATGGACAGGTTAATAGGAGAAAATCCATATGATCTATTAATGTGAAAATGTGTATGGGAGACACAGACAAAATCGAGACTCAAAGAAAGGACCAGATGGTTGAAGCTTCAGCAGCATTTTGAGCTACAGAAAGAAATAGGGGCTTGAGGTTCATGGGAGGTGGCAACAAGTTACAGGAAGGTGAAGGGAAAAATGTACTTCAAACAGATGTTGTTGTATTACGTAGATAAAATGTCCTCGGTGCTCTCTCAGAGCTACTTTTAGAAGAATAGATGAAAAGTCGGTGCATTGGTGACTTTGAGTTTTTACTCTTTTCTGGAGGTTAATCTTTCCTGGTTATTTGATGAGAATTCTACTGATGGGGGCTTAAGAAAGCTGCATTTCTTTTGAAAGAAGTTTCCCTTTGCCAGATAGGGGAGAAGACGATGATCAAGAGACTGTGGGGTGGGGGAGAAGGTCACAGAAACTTGGATTCCAAGTCTGTTCTTAAGCTCAGCAAGTCAGGGGGTTGCTCTTTGGAGTGTTGTTTTCTGAGCCCTTCTCAGTGCTTTTACCCAAGAGGACTAGGGTCTTTCTCAGCAGGTTAGTGCTCCAATTGTCTTTTGCTTCTGGGACCAAGAGGGTCTCAAAGGGACTGTATCATGTTCTGAATTCCACCAAGTTTGGGGTAGGGGCAAAATCAGGTTGAAAGGGCCACTAGAATAGCTCTGCGTCCCATAGAACACTTGCTGTCCTGGAGTGAAGGATCATGAATGGGAAAGGGTCTGTGTTTCCTTTTTGATGATGGTGGTGGTGATTGTGATGGTGATGGTGATGGTGGTAGAGGTGGTGGAAGTTGTGATGTGATGGTGATGGTGGTAGAGGTGATGGTGATGGTGATTGATGGTGGTGGTACAGGTGATGGTAATAGTGGTGGTGATGGTGATGGTAGTGGCAATGGCAGTAATCGTGATGGACGGTGTGTATTTACCAATTTGTGCTTTGGGTGTTTCCTTCAATTTTAATGTATAAGCTTATTCTGTGTGGGCTGCCCTCTCACCCAGATCCCATGCAGGCGACAGAACTGGGGCTCCTCTTGGTGAAGTGGGCTGGCTGTAGAATAAAAGCTAAGAAAGAGAAGGCGGTGAAAAAGCCACAGGGCACAGAAAGTAATTTTTGAAAAGCGAGGGGCAGGAYGGAGAGAAGATCTTGGGGAGCAAGCTTCCACACTAGAAAGAGAGAGGGAGTCCACGCTTGCTTTATTTATATGGGGAAACATCAAGGTTTTCCATGGAATATTGTTTGACAAAGGAAGGAGGTGGGCAGATAGTTCCCAATGGGTTACACCCAACTCTGGAGCTACGAGAGCTGTCTCTCTAGTAAAGTGAAGTCAGAGACCTCATGCCTTGGGTGATCTGATGCACATGGGAGAGCTGGGATAGTTCCTGAGGGAAAAACCTAAGTCTCCATGGCTTGGTATGGAGTGAAGACCCCTCAAGTAGCTCACAGGTGGCTCCCCACATGGCCCCTACTCTATTCCTTTTTTATTCCATTTCCCGACTGATCATTTTTCACCATCACTGTCCAGAAGCAGTGAATTACGGTGGACACATTGGAGATCTYGCTCTCTTTCGCTTTTTTTTTTGGTATTGGGGATTGAACCCAGGGATGCTCTACCACTGAGCCACATCCATAGACTTTTTTGTCTTGCTAAGTTGCTGAAAGTCTCAGCAGATAACTGAAGCTGGCCTGAAACTTGCAATCCTCCTGCCTCAGCCTTCTGAATTRCTGGGATTACAGATATGCACTACCACTCCTGAATGGATCTCTTGGTATTTGAACAAAGCAAAAATGCTCAGGCATTTCCAGGGGCACAAAAGTGTCTAGTGAGATTTGAGGAGGAGAAAAGTAGCACAAGGCAGTGCGAACTAAGCCTTCTTCCATTGCTGGTTCTTCCAGATAGATACCCATATCCAAGAACAGCAGAGCTTAGTGTTAATGTCCTAGTTGCTGTAATCTTCAGTGAACAAAATACCCTCTAATGTCTTTGTTTCCAGAAAGCAGTAGTGATGTGAAGAGTCCAGATAAGGGGTAATTCCTAGATGGTCATTTCCATGTCCATGTGGAACACACTTTGTAATTTCCTCAATAATGTGGTTAATTTGTGTTTCTCATGATTCTGGGGTTAGGTGAGTACTAAAAAGTCACATTTCCTGAGATCTCAAAAATTGAAGCAAGCACCAATCCAAGACCCTGGGGCCAGGAGAAGGATCCATCTTGGGAGTGTTGGTGAGGATGGCCGAGGCAGAGGGGAACTGAGACTTGGTGGGGGAGTGTTAGTGCTTTAGGAGGGAGATGACCAAGCCCAAATTTGTCTGTAGATTTGGAAGGATTGTAATCCATACTTTTCAAATATTTGGAAACTTTGTGTTTGGGGAAAACATTGAATATTTAAATAAGAATTGATTTCAGACAGAGATGAGATTTCCTCTGATGAACATGTTAGCTTGGTTTGTGATGTTTCAAAGGAAAAGAGCCTAGGAAAGAGATCTAGACTCACTCCCACAGACAGTCCWTTACTGGGGCTGCTTCTCTTCTGACTTTTCTTTGATCTCTCAATTTCAGATCACTTGACTGCAAACATTTCATTTCTAATTAAACTTCAATCCTTAATTACTTGGATCGTTCCTGTTGCCTCCCTCAGGGAACAAAGCTTTTACAGGGAGAGAGATGCAGGAACCCCAGAGCTATGAACCCAGAAGAGTGAGCTCTGACTGAATCTGTTGCTTGGTCTGTATACCAAGCATGTAAATGTATTAAAAAACTTATTAACACCTTCCAGATCCATCAATTTAACTTTGTGTATTTTTTTTTTGTGTGTGTGTGTGTGTGTGTGTGTGTGTGTGTGTGTGGTGTGTGTGTTGCTGAGAATTGAACTCAGGACCTTGTGCATGTGAGGCAAGCACTCTACCAACTGAGCTATATCCCCAGCCCTCTATTTGACTTTTTAGTGCATGGTGTCATATATTTTGGTTATCGAATCTTGCGTTTTAGTTTTTCTTGATCCACGATGACATAGTTGTTTTCCCCAACCATGTGCTCACTCCAGCATTCCAGATCCGCAGGAGGTGGCCGGGCTGGAAAGACCTCAGCCCTTTCCTCTCAYAGTCCCCCAGACTGATGCCCAAATTGTGAGAGAATCTCTGAAACCTGGCAGTCCTGGCAGAATTGGGGCTCAAATCTCTATCTCCTGACACTTTAGCCTTTGAGAGTTAACCTTTCCTGTGGTCAATGATATATCCTAAATTGTAAGCMTGCCCTCAGGGACAAGAGAGCCAGGAGAAAAAAGAAGGACAGGCAAGAGACCGAGGAGGCCTGCCTGAGTGACCCATGAATGTCAAATGCAGTGGCAGCCTGAGTGCCTAGAAGCTATGAACCCAGAAGAGCTGGGAGACAGAATAAGAGATCTCAGCTTGGGGTAGGGAGGGGATGTGTGTGGTAAGGGGAGGGCTGGCAGGCAGGGAGCAGAGGAGAGTCCTGAGAAAAGACCAGCTAGAGGAGGGGCATGGGCTGGCCCGTGTGGGGTGAAGAGAGTGGTCCCAGGAGCCTCAGAGGGTGGACTGCCTCACTGCGGGCAGGTCCAGGTCTGGAAGGATCTGCCCTGGGCAGAGGGCTTGGACGTGGCTGAGGAGTAAGTGGGGAAAAAGGAAAGGGAGGGAGACGCCACTGGTTTAAGAGGTACACCTGTGTTGGGAAGTCATCTAAATCTGGCCAAGAGGGTAGGGTTGTGGCTGCTGAGAGGGGTTATAGGTATGGGGGGTGCTGGGGCTGTGGTCCAGGCCTACAGGGACTGAGGAGGACCAAGTGGAGTCGGGCAGTGGAAGAGGCCAGGAAAAGGCAGAGTCATGGGAATGGTGGCGACAGGAGGAATCCTGGACTGGGATTGGTTGGCTGGTCCTGGGGCAAGAAGGGAGCAGAGATTCTGTAGCTCACAAGATCACATACCCTTCTTGCATTGCAGCAGCATTTATTGAAACATAGATTGAGACAACCCAGAAGGCATGGCACCCACAGACAGTCATAACCAGAGGGAACCCAGGAAGTGACCTAACCCTCTCCATCCGACCAACTCTACATTGGACAATCCCCTCTTTCTCTGGGCAGGGGGAGATCTGGAGCAACCATGGAGCCTTTGAAATGTATAAAGATGCACTGAATAGCAAGACCTGTCCAAAGTCCCCTAACCAGGGGTTCCAGGCAAAAGGATTTCCACCATAATGGGCCTCTGAACTGGGAGGTCACAGGAGGAGTCTGGCTGGAGCAGGTTAACCCAGAAGAACAGTCAGCCAGAGAGACAAGCAAAACACAATAAAGAATAAACAGGCAGGGTCTTGCCCAGAGGCCATTCTTGCTGGCAGTATAGGGAGCTGCTGGGAGTGGGGCCTCCTCTGGTTGGGGAGGCCTGGCTGGGTGGTTAGGATCATGCCTTGACCCAGGGGAAGGCTCAGCTTCCATGCTGTCCAGCCCCCAGGGTCTGAGGAGGACCAAGTGGAGTTGGGCACCCAAGTGCAGTTGGGTGACTGGTCGTGTCCCGGAGAGCTTGGTGAATAATTCAAATTGGCCACAGGTATTTGGAGCTAGCTGGAGTTAAGTGAGGGCTAGGAATGGCCCTCTAAAACTGAAGCCAAGAGGAGAACTAGGAAACAGCTCCCTAAAACAAGAAGGTGGAGGAAAGCGGCCCAAGGGTTTTTCCCTCTCTAGGAACATCTGGAAGATTCTGGAAGCAAGCACACATTTTCCATTCACACATCATTCAGTGCTGGGGTGGACACCGGTGGGGCAGGCGGCTTGGCAGGAGGCCCCCACACTACGCAAAGCGGACTGACCGGCTGCTTGCGCAGCTGAAGCTGGAGGAGCGGGGCTGGCAGGGGCTGCAGGAGTCGGGGGCCATTACTGAGATGCTGCCCCCTGTGGCTGAGGGCCCAGAGGTGATCTGGCGCCCAGGGGTGGTGCTATATGAGAGGCCCCCACAGGTGACTCCACCACGGGAACTGCTGACACCTGTGGGACAAGGAGACACGGAGGGGTGAGGGGCTTGCTGTGATCATCTAGTCCACCCCAAGATGGGTCCAGAGCACTCCCCAAGGGGACTAGTGGTCAATGGCGGGGCCCAGTTCCTCTCAGCTCGTCGGGAAGGAAGCGAGGACTCCTGGACCCTTTTCCAAGCCTGCAGCTCACTAAGGCCACCCATAAAGGCTCAGCTCTGGTTCTGTTCTTCCCTTACTGGTCTTTGGTGAGGGGCCAGGGGAGAGAAGAGGCCCTCTCTCAGTGGGGGACAATTGAGGTTCACTGGCTTAGGCCAACGAGTTCACCTTTGCCTATCACAAAGCCGCTTTTCTGGGGGGTTTCAAGCAATACTTACAGACATTCACGGAGCCCACACCCTCGCACAGCCTGGGGGGAAAGAAAACTCCATTAGTTCTACGCACTGAGTGGAATTCGTGAGACCCATGGTTGCTTGGGGACAGAAAATCATCCTGTGTCCTGTGTACAGAGTCTATTCCTGAGGGGGTCCCCCAAATCTCACTCTCTTTAATGGCTCTCCCTCCATAGAGACCAGCTCCTCTGACTTTTAGCCTGAGTGCGGGTGGTGGTGGTTAAGAGAAGACCTTCTCTTGCTGCCTCCAATCAGATGCCCGTGCCACCTCCCCCACCAGGTTTTCTAAGGGAGCTCTTGGCAGAGCAGAATCCAGTGCTCTAGTGTGTTGAAGAGCTTTGGGGTGGTGCAGAGCTATGTGGGGGTGCATCATTGTGTGACCAAGCCCCGAGCAGCCGTCTGAGGAAGCTTTGTAACAATAATGGTTTTTTAGAGGCACATGACTTAGGTGCAGGTCCCAGCTGGGCTGAGTTGCTGTATGGCTTCAGGAAAGGCACAGAACTCCGAGCCTACTTCTTTGTCTTTGGATGGGAAAAATGAGACCCACCTCATTGGATGGGGAAGGTTATAAAGTGAGTGCTTGACACAGAGCAAGCATATGATAGATACTATTAAAGCCTGCCCAGTACTACCCTGGTCAGTTATGGGTCACATTTGGACCCAGGACAGTTCGCTCTGGGAGACCAGGGCCTCCACCTTGTCCCATTCAAGGGCTCCTCAGGCCCACTTCTGCTTACCCCAGGCCTAGACACACTCAGGGCAGTATGGCTGTGGACTGGGCCTTCCCCTTCTAAGCCTACAAGGTCTTTCTGGGTCTCACCTGTGCTCCTCGCCCTCCAGCAGGCGCCTGTAGGTGGCGATCTCGATGTCCAGGCCCAGCTTGGAGTTCATCACCTCCTGGTACTCCTTGAGCAGGCAGGCCATGTCCTGCTTGGCCTTCTGCAGGGCGCCCTCCAGCTCAGCCAGCTTGCAGCGGGCATCGCTCAGGGCCGCCTCGCCCTGCTGCTCTGCCTCGGCCACAGCGGCTTCCAGCTTGGCACGCTATGGGGTGGAGATGTGAGGCAAGGCTGAGAGAGAAGGCTCAGCTTGTCTCGCCTGAGCTCATGAGGCTAGGGCAGGGAGAGGGAAGACCTGCAGAAAAGGTCGGGGCCACGACCAGTAGTTCATAGGCTGGAACATGATGGAGGAGAGGGGTGTGCTTTCACCTTCCCACAGATGCAGGGTGCCTCTTTTGGAAGTCAGTGACCCTGCTCATGCCAGCCAGAGTGCTGTGCAGTATGGGGGAGCCCCTGCCCTCTCTCTGGGTCCTTGCTTCCTAAAGGACCTGGCATTGTAGCCTGCTTGTGCTGGGTGTTTTGAGTATTTCCTGTAATCTACCTGGCACTTGGCATTCTCAATCTCAGCCGTCAGCCTCTGGATGATGCGGTTCAGCTCGTTGATCTCTTCCCTGGTGCGGCGCAGGGTCTCCCCATGCCTGATCACTGTGGCCTTCATCTCCTCGCACTGGGGGAAGCAAAAATGCTCATGAGGCTCAGCATGGGAATCCCACCCCCTCGGGATACCAAGGTTGCCTGACAGGTGGTACAGTGCTCAGCCTTGGCAGCTCAGCCCTGCACCCAACCTGACAGCTGTCAACCCTTACCATCTCTTACCATCCTTCAAGTAAAAGAAGCCTTTTCTAATAGGCAGTTCACTTTCCTTCCACTGCCTTGTCAAGGAGGCAGGTGTCCTAAGTCACTCACCTTGGTGCGGTACCAGGACTCAGCCTCAGCCCGACTGCGACTGGCAACATCATCATACTGAGCCTTGATCTCAGCCACAACGCAGTCCATGTTCAGGTCGCGGCTGTTGTCCATCTTGACAATGACTGAGGTATCTGAGATGTGGGCTTGGAGAACCCGGATCTCCTGTGGGGTCGACAGGCAGTGCATTTGGGTCTGGTGCCTGACCTGGGCTGTGTGCTCCCCCAGGGAACCAGGCTCGCTCTTGGCTGGGGGGCTGATCAGGAATGCCGTGTGCCTTCTCCTTCTGCTAACACCCCCATCCACACATATAAAAAACTAGGCCAATGGGTTCACCAAAGGGCCCTAGACATCATGTCAGAACAGCCTCTGAACTCCTCAATGGGAAAACTAGGGCCCAAAGTGTAAAATAGCCCCAACCCAAAGTTACCCCGCAGGGGAGCTGGGTGTGGTGCCCAGGGGAGCGATTAGTCCACTAGTTAAGGCCCCTCCCTATCTGGGAACCCCTACACCACATATACCTCTATATTTAATGATAGACCAATGCTCCACCAACCAGTGTAGACATGACACTCCAACCCACAGACTCCGGAAGCTATGCACACACATACATTCCATTGTTCTCACACATGTGAACACAGATGTGGCCCAGGCATAAACACCCCACATACCACACCCTACCCTGGGCCCCTCTCACATGGGTGCCCTTGTTCTTTTCACTTGGAAACACACACATGCATAGGCACCCTACCCCCAGCTCACCCAGTCCTTGCAACCTCCCTTCCAACAGCCCTGGCTGGTTGGCAGGTGCCCTCACCTCTTCGTAGAGGCGCTTCAGGAAGCTAGATTCCTCCACCAGGGCCTCCACATTGGCCTCCAGGTCTGATTTCCGCAGGTAGGCGCAGTCCACATCCTGGCATTTGAACAAGAGGAGGTGGGGGAAGGAGGCCAAAGGAAGGACCTTGAGTCAGTGTGGTTCTGTGCCCAGTGCTGGAGGTTGCACAGATGGGTCCCCTTCCATCCCTCCCTCCCCTGCAACCAGCCCCCTTACCTTCTTTAGAACCACAAACTCGTTCTCAGCTGTGGCTCTCAGAGCCACTTCCTCTTCGTACCTGGAAGTGAGAGAGAGAAAGGCTGGGGCTGAGAGGTCTATTCCAGCTCCTGGCCAAGCTCTTCCAGGGGTTGAAAAGGAATGAACCCTCTTCAGGTATTATCTTGTCGTCTCTGTCATCTATTAGTACATGGTTCATGGCTAGCTCTGTCCCAGCCTGGCTTCATTCCACCCAAGTCTTCTGCTTCTGGAATGAGATCAGGAATGCACATTCCACCCCCAAGCCTAATGTTTGTGCATCCTGGATCCAAAGAGAGCGAGTGCTACCGTCAGGGAGAGCACGGAGCCTGCATCAGAAAGGGAAGTGATGACAGCTGTAGGACTCTCYGGGCTTCCTTTATTTACTTCCCGGGAGATTAGTTCCCAGACTCACAGGGCCTCCTAGGGGTTGAGGGGGAGCCCAGGAATTTGGGGAAATCTAAGTCTCACCGCTCAGCCCCGCTGGGTCCCAGGAAGTCTTGTTAAAGGAATCTTTAAGAAACTGTTACACAGGGCTCGTGGGCAGAACCTTCTAGATTTCCCTGAGTTGCCCTGGGCATGGGCACTCACTTCTTCTTGTAGCCCTCCAGCACCTCCTGCACGTGGTTGAGCTCCGAGGCCAGCCTCCCACTGTCAGCCTCCACACACTCAGCCTCCCGCCTCAGGGTCTCAATGTAGCCAGCAAACAGGGGCTCCAGGTTGCTCTCGCAGCAGCGCTGGTTCTGGTAGAACTGCCACTTGGTCTCCAGCAGTTTGTTCTGCTGCTCCAGGAAGCGCACCTGCCATTTGGGAGAAAGAAAGAGACTCAGGGCGGGGAACTGGGGAGGTGTCTGGTACCTAGAGCTCTCTGCTCTTGGATGCTGGAAGCTGAATAGGGTTGAGCCATGCAGTTGAGTGTCTGAGGCTCAAGGGACCCTGTTCCCAGCACTTTAGGGAGTCACTTGATTGACCTAGGCTTGGCTCAAAGCCAAAGTTCTGGTTAAACTTTCTGCCACTTTAAGTGGGCAAGTTTTAAAACTTTTTTGGTATTAGGTTTTCTCATCTCTAATACAGAGCTARTAGTTGATGGAGCTGCGAAGATTGAACCAGTTAATACATGTAAAGTTCTTAGAACAGCCCCTGACATGTATTAAGTGCTCAGCCAATTTAACTATTATAATTACCAGTTTTCCTTTTATTCATTTATGCAACAGACACTTAATTTATGCAACAAACACTTAATTGCAACAAATACTCACATGTGGTTCCAGGGCCTGTGCTGGGACACACACATCTTTGTATCTATGTCATCTGTCATTTGATATCCTGTGGATTATCACAATCCTGCAGGGGTAGACCTTGTCTTGCCCATATCACAAATGGGGAAACTGAGACTCCCAAGGTGTGAAATGACCAGCTCATGGCAAGTGATGGAATGAGGACTCAATGTCCCGTGCATCCCTGTCCACTGTCTTCACTTGCCCACCCCAGTATGTCTATCTAGCAGCTTATCTAAACTCTCTCAGCTCCTATTTGTAATTGAAAGATGGAGATGATAATACCCCAGTGGGTTATTTTCAGGATTAACTAAAATCACTAAAGAAAAACAGGAAGGTCACCCCTTTGCCCCAGAACCCCAAACCTGATCCTTCTGCTGGGTGGGAAGGGGGCTTCCCGTCTCCCTCCCACACTTCCTGGTCTGTGCAGCAGTTCCTCACTCTGAGGATACTGGTGGGTCTCCCTCCAGCCAGGCCCCTGCCCAGTCTCCATTGCAGCACTCCATCCGTGAAGAGGCCRCCAAGCCTGGGTTAGTTAACTGTCACTCATCCACTACTGTCTTTGGAAACTAATAATAACAGCGAGCAGTTATTGAGCCTGGACTATTTGCCAGCATTTTCCATGTAGGAGCTCATCAGTCCTCCTAAGGAGCTGAGGAGGCGGGACCTGATATCCAGACATATAATCTGTCTGGGGCCTCACACTGCTGACTGGCACAGCAAGTTCTTGGGGGAGGCAGTGTGCCCTGAGTGGTGCCTATCACTTCACATGCCACTGAACCATGCGCCACAAGGCCTTTTATTCTCCTTATTATCTTCTGCTCTTCCCACACCCAGGGCCCAAGTCCAGTTTTTCAAGGACAGCTCTGTGACTGCCATTCTCTTGGCTGCAGAAGCCCACACAGCCTGACCACCACAGACACAGTTTCTAGACCACACCTGGACCTCATAAACTTGGCTGGAACAAAGTGATGGAGATGGATCCTTCTACCTGAATTGGTCTGCATTTCTTTCCCTCTGCGGTTTCCCATCTGGCAGCCAGCCTGTCTCCCCAGCAGACTTTTCCAGGGAGGGCAGGGCTGAGGTCCTCTCTGCACCATCATAGGCCTCAAAACTGACCTTGTCGATGAAGGCAGCGAACTTGCTGTTGAGGCACTTGATCTGCTCCTTCTCCTCGTGCTTCACGCACTGCGCGTTGGGGTCGATCTCCAGGTTGAGGGGCGTGAGCAGGCTCTCGTTGACSGACACGGAGGTGATGCAGGGAGCGCTGGGTCCGCACACACCTCCGGAGCGGTAGCCGAAGSTGCGTCCGCAGGACCCAGAGCGGAAGCCCCCAATGGCCATGCGGGGTCCGCAGGAGCCCAGGTTACCAAGGCTGCGGCTGCTGAAGCCCGTGAGCCCCCGGTAGCAGGACACTCCCCGGTAGGGGGTGGCACTGATGCAGCAGCGGTTGCCAGTTTTGGGGGCCACAGCTGAGCAGGAGCTGAAGTTCCTGGTGACCCCACATCCTGAGCTGATCCTGTAGGAGCGGCAGGACATCGTGGGAGTCTGAGCAGAGTGTGAGCTGCAGAGCTGAGGCTGAGGATCCTTCTGGTCTCTCTGATCCTCCCTGGTCCTTTTATTGATGGGGAGAGCTGGGGTTGGCTGCATAAAAGGAGTGAAAAGCCATTTTATGTTGTTTATTGGCTTGGGGAATTTTCCAGCAACTCCCAAGGACTCATCTTAAAGGTGAGCTCAGCAGTGATTCCGGCACCGTAAAAGTATTGAAGATGTTATTAGGGACACTGTACGTTTGCACTTTTCATCTTCAAAGCTCGTTTACACACATTAAGTAATTAATTTTCTCGCAGTCTCTCTGTGAGATGGCCCCAACCCACACTTGGAGACGGAGTTGAACTCCACAACAGTCTGGGGGTGGATGGGTTTGGGTTATAGGCGGGGCCATCATCTCAAGGGAGAGTTTCTGGGGTCTCAGGTTGGGTGAGCCCTGGGGAGTCTTTGCTTCCACCCAATTGTCATAAGGCACATTYTCGGGTAAATCACTGTCTCAGGAACTGATAGGTCAGGAGTGTCTACATGCATCCCCGCAGCATTGACTGGAAGGTAGTTTAGGACCGGAGGGGTGTTTTTGACCATGCTCCCTCTAGTACAGAGGCTGCAGGAGACCATCCCTTGGAATCTTCTGGATTTCAGCCCAGAGGGTCTGTTTCAGGGTCTTTATCTCTCTAAGCAAAAGTGCAAACCACTCAACTCTCAGTGGCCACAATAATGACCACTTGTGGATAATGGGGAGACTCCCCTTCAGCCACTTTCTTCTCTGTGGCCCAATGGAGTGGAGAACCCAATCCTGAGATTGCCTGGTGGCCACAWATTGCTCTGGGCACCTTCTCTTTGCTCTGGAAGAAGAAACAAATCCTGTGAGTCTCCCCTCCTTCTGACCACCAGCCAGAGGAGGGGAGCTCATTCAGTTGACCAGCCCGGTTGTCCCTCTTAGAGGAATGCTTAGAGACTGCTCTACACTTGTCTCAGGGCCCTATAATTTCTGGCTCTAGGGGGGCTCTGAGAGTCTTGGCTGTTTATGTCCCTGCATGTCCTTGGGCCAGTTATTAGGATAATGATTGCTCTCCTTTAACAGCACAAACCTTGAAGATGTGGTCTCTGCCCCTGAGGTGTTAGGAACTTAGGAAAGAAGATCTGATGAACTTCCTCAGAGGRTGTCTCCTCCTTTAGGGAGCCTTTCAGAACCAAACGCTGCCACTGCCATCCCCCGACATCCTCTGTAGGGTACCCTGCATTCTGTCCTGATGTTCATGGCCAGCTACCTTAGGTGTCCATCTAAAATCATACTGACACTCCTATCCCATGTCTTACCCCTGTTCTTCAGGGAAGGTAGAGAGGCCTTTGGAAGTGGGTTGAGGAGAAACATCTGGGGTTAGTAACCTGGGCAATGGAGTCAAAGTTGAAAGATCTGGTTCAAGTCCTAGCTCTGTGGCTTTGGGGAAGCACCTAACCTCTCTGAGCCTCTGTTTCTTTTACCGTAAAGTGGGATTCATTCTTACCTTCCAAGGTTGTTGGGAGAGTTAAGTGGCTAATATGTGAAAATGTTCTCTAGGTGTCGTAAAACTCTGTATAAGGAAAGGGATCATTGCTTCYGGTCAGAATCAGCCCCCCCAACACCCCCTCCCAAGCATAGTGGCCCCACCCAGGGTCTTTACCTCCTCTGTACATTTATGACTTCTTTACCCTTTCAAGACTGTGTTTAATGTTTTCTTTAGCCTGATTTCACTCGTATAAAAATTTGGGGTGGAGTCTGGGGGCAGAGGGAGAAGACTGTCTTGGGGGGAGCTCAGGAGATGACTCCCAGCCTCACCCCTGGGCGGGGTCCCTGGGTTGTTATGCTCAGTGTCCTGAACAGGAGTTCACTGCCCGGCTGTCTTGGACACCTGGGGTCATGTGCTGTGGACAAGAGGGATTGGGGAGGAGGGCCGGATAAGCAGGAGTTGGGGTGCCTTGGAATCTCACCACCCCAACTTGTAGAAGCCTCTGCTCGCCTCCGTTTGCTCAGATGATGGAGTCAGACCCGACCCTACCTCTCCTCAGAGGCAGCAGGAAGGGGAAGCTCTGTCTGAACGGAGGTTCTATGTCAGTTGCTTCGTCTTCCCCCAAACTTGCTGTGGATGGAGGACTGTGCTGGGGAGAGGGGAGGGTGGCTGACTCCTCCTGACTGGTCCCATGTAGGCCAGAGAGAGTGAGAGCTCACAGGCCAAGTCAGCCTGGAACAGCTCCCAGGAGGGGCCTGGCCTTGGCTGTACGGTTCTACCCTCTGGAGGGGCAGGGCGTCCTGAGCTCATGCCCAGCTCTTCCTATCAGCCACACACTCTGGGGGACCAGGCCCTATCCTGAGAGTCAGRATCTTTTGTGGGTGGGGTGGGAGGCCCCCCTCCTTTTACTGGTCTTATCATCTCTGCCCCCCTATATCCTGCTGATTCCTGCACTGCACCCCTCTCTCTAAGACTTCTCTCCAGGCACACCTTTGTCTGGAATGTTCCAGAGCAGCCACCTCTTCCAGGAAGTCTTAATGAACTAATTAGAGGGTGGCTGGGATTTCTTCTCCTGGTGTCTCCTAAAATGCCCTCTCTGGGCTTCCCAGGTGACTCCCAATTATCCTCTCCTGCACACTCTTGAGCTCGATGCAGTCACGCATCACCCTCTTTGGTCCTGCCCYGTGCTGGCCCCTATCTTTGGAAGCCCCACCCAGTGCCAGAATGTCTACTGGAGTCCATGACCCTTCCATGATTTAAAATGCTCCTAAGAGGACACTTCTTCCAGGAAGCCTTCAAGAGCTAATTGGGAGAGAGCCGTTCTTTGCCCCACCCAGGAGCCCCTGGTAATTTTTAAGAACATTTAGGACCTGCCCCAGTCCACTAAGCACACTCCCAGGGGCTTCCTTAGAGGCCTTGCAACTCATGCCTCAGCCCCACCCATGCTGGTCCATCCTCCTCCTTTGTTTGACTGAAGCTGGGATGCCTTAGTCACCAGGGACTCATTACCTCCCTCCCCCTCTGCTCTTTCTACTATGTCTGACATTCCCCATCACCACCTCCAGGAAGACTTCCTGGATTTGTCAAAAGGTAGGAGAGCACGAATACCTTCTTCAGTGCTTCCCTGCCTGTCCTTAGAGCCACAGCAAACCCTCCCAGTTTTGTATTTGTATCTGCTTGGATTATTCTATCCTTCCTGGCTGGCTGGTTCTCCCGAGTGGATGCTGATGGGCTCCCCATAGACAAGCCCTGTCCCAAGCAGGGGCTTGATGGCTTCCTGTACAGCTGGTTCACATTGGGCCCTCACTCTGCGGGCCACACTTTCATTATGCATGCAAATCAATGCCATCTGCCTACAGTGTYATGGTACCATGACCCTTTCTTTGGCATTTGGAGACTTGGGTATGATTCAGAGACTTGGTGTGGGAGGGATGAGGGTCAGAGCAGTAAGAACTTGGCTGAATGGTCAGCTGCTTCCATGGGGTGGTTCCTCTTCCAGCTGGCCAAGGGCTCCGTGGCCTGCCCCCCTTTCTTTCTTCTCAGGGCTTCCCATCAGGAACCCCAGGAAATTCTTCACTTTCCTCCCAAACTCTGTGCATCTGCCTCCCTGTGGTCACTGTCCCTGGTGGCCTGTCTTTTTCTCAGAGCTTCTAATTTCAGAATTCAACTGTATTAATGGTTTTGAGATTTTTCTTCTTTTAATTTTAGCAATAGAACCATTTTCCTAAATCTTAGTAGTTAACTAATATACAAAGCTATAAAAATCACCCCTGGGTATCCATGGAGAAATGGTCCTGGGAACCCCAAGGATACCCAAATTAAAGATGCTCAAGTCCCTTACATAAAAAGATGGCRTAGTGTCTGCTTATAACCTGTCATATCCTCCTGTATGCTTTAAGTCACCTCTAGATTACTTACAATATCTGGTACAATGTAAGTGCTATGTAAATAGTTTGTCATACTGTATTGTTCAGGGAATAGCAAGAAAAAAAGGTAGTTATTGTTCAGTTTAGACACAATTTTCCTCCACTCCATGGATTTGAAGCCATGAATACTGAAGGCGACCTGCGTATTTTCTTAGAACAAATGAGCGTGTCATGTTAGTCTCCCTGCTGGCTGCTCGCCCCGCCCTCTGGACTCCATCCCCAGCACAGGAGGGTACCCCATAATACATTAAGTCAGATTGCTCCRAACCGCGGTGACTCGACACCCCACCCCTGTCCTAACGATGGCTCAGGAGGTCTTGCTCTGCCTGTAGCTTGCTCCCGTTCTCACTTCGTCTTCTTCCCCTGATTCCCCACTCTCAGCAACCACAGTGCTCCTTGAACATGCTGGGAGCCCTCCCATCAGGACTGTAGCACTGGTTCTTTCTTCTGCCCGGTGCTGACTTGTCATCCACATGACAGGCTCCATCGCCTCCTGCGAGTCTTTGCTCAAAAATCACCTCTTGGAGCCCTCTTTTAAAAATGGTAACCTGCTTTCCTATCCCAGGACATTCTRCACTTGGCTTATCTTTTTCCGATCTACTTTATTCTATTTATTTTAGAAGGTGCTTATTTATTTATTGCGGCTTATTTGCTGACCAATTGAATTGTGTAAATGAATGAACATCTCAGATTTTTTAGATGTYTGAGGTTTGGCAGAAATTGCCACTTGTGGGAAGCCTTGGTCTTTGAGCCCTAAGGTGCACGCCCRGTTTGAAAACCACAGGACTCTTGCACTTCAAGGCTGTAGATTTTGAAAGCACCCTTGGGAACAAAGCGAGAAACACAGGTGATGGAAACAGGGTTGTGTAGTGCTGGGAAGAAAGGGAATAGATTTTTAAAAATCTATTTATTGTTATTATGTCTGTGTCCTACGTGCAGTTTTGGTTGGGGAAAAAAAAAAGTTGAAAGACTAAGCTCACCTTGTCACACTGTTAGCCTTTGAAAATTCCCTGTGCCCTGTCACTGTGGAAGGTGGCGGCCAGCAGAGGGCAGCAAAGCCCCACGGCTAGACTAGCAGAGGCCATGTGGTGGCAGGAGCAGGAAAGGCCAAGGAGGTAACTGCTTCCCTGACAGCTCAGACTTTAGGCTCTTCAGAAGCTGGATGCAGTTCACTGACTCTTGCCTAGACTATTGCAGTAGCTCCTAACTTGGGCCTCAGTGGTCGCTGTAGGAGTGATGAGAGGCAGTTGGATTCTGGCTATTATTTAAAAGCTTAGCTGATGATATTGGTGGATAGATTAAACATGGGAACATGAGAGGAAGAGAGGGGTTAAAGATAACTCCAGGGATTTTTGACTTAAGCAGCTGAGTGGAGTTGCCATTAATGTGGAAGGAGCTGGAGAGGGAAGCAGGAAGAGGAGCTTGTTTGGGGACATGATTAGTTTGAGAAGCCCGTTAGACACGCAGGGGGAGATGTCGGTGGGTGAGTTGCATATACCAGCTTGTAGCTAATGGGAGGTCTGGATTGGAGGCACAAATTCAGGAGTCACTGGCTTATCCACAGCACTTAAGGCTGAGATGGATGGTGATGTCACCCAAGGGGTAGGGCAGAGAGATGAGAAGGAGCTTGATGACTAGAGCCTGGGACTCCCAACATTGCCTTGTCATCTAGCTAGAGAGTTGGAATCAATGCCATTCCAATGGCATGCATCCGTCAGCCAGGGCCCAATCAGGAGACAGCACCCCGCGGTAACTTGAATGGGGAGTGTTTAATACCAATAATATGGGATGTCGGCGTTATGAGGCATTGGCCAGTGAGAAGTAAAGAGAACTCCAAAAAATAGAGAAGCAACAGTGTGAGAAACAGTTCCTACCCCTCGGGCCATGGTGGAGGGCCCAAGGGAACAGGCTGGGATCCAGACCTCCCTGGAAAGAGCAGAGTATCACTCACTGGATGCCAGAGAAGTCACTGGGGGGCCACTCCAGTGGAGCTTGCTGGCAATCTTCAGAGCTGGAAATCTACCTTCTTGGGTATGGGGAAGACTTTTCACAAAGAGGGAGGTTGCTGGAGGCGCTTGGCTTTGAAACTGCCCAAGAGAGTATCAGGGGCAGCCGTTGGCATCTGGTGCAGCTGGCTGCTGCTGTGTGCTGCAGGAACATGGCACTGTAGAAGCCTCTGTGGGGTGGGAACCTGGCTCTGGAGAACCCAAACAGGGACCTGTGAGGAGGCACGTGGAAGGGAATCTCTTACTTGAAACACCAGCCGACAAAGCTTACCATTGTGGCCCTGGCAAGCGAAATGTTTAAAGGGACCARATCATTTTCACAGTGTAGGCAGACAAGGGTGACTTTAGAACTGAGGCCATAAATTGAGCCCTGGCACTGGGTGGGTGTAGGTCTGGCTGAGAGGCACCAAGGCCACATGAGGAAGCCTTGGTATTGCTGTCTTGGAGGTGTGTGCAACTTTGCATGGGGGAGAGGAGCTGGAAGTCAGGAGCCTCTGGAAGTGGGGGGGAGGGGTTGGCTGGTGAGGCCAGGGTCAGGCAGGCCTGAGGCTGTGAGCAGGGCACTGTGGATGTCCTTGGGTTGTTGACCAGGATCTGGGTAAAGCTGAATATATAAAGATAAAATATGTGCTTCCTGATCTCTAAGAAGAGCTATCTGGGGGGAGGATGATCAGCAAACAATTCCTACTATGACAGATGTGTCCTAATGGAGCGCATCCGGGTTCCTGGTCATGACCCACATTGGCTGATTCCTATTTCCGCTTGAAATAGGAATGTCGTGTCTTGGCCTCTATAATGTAGCCAGACTCAACTCCGGGCAAGTCTCAAGTTTGTCATGCTCTCTATCACCTCTTGGTTTTTGCACACACTGTGGCCTCTGCTTGGAGCACTTCTTTCTTCTTTGTGTGGCTAAGGCATCATCCTTTGCTTCTCTGATAGGACRTCACATTCTTTAGGAAGCTTTTCGTGATGCCCCAAGTCTGCATTAGGCCTCTACCCTGTGCCAACTCTACTCTTAACAAAGAATCTATCAAATTGAGACTTAATTACTTGTGCATCTGTTCTACCAGATGGATTGGAAACTCTTCGGGGTCAAGAATCGAATCTCGTTCCCAACTCTTAGGTAGTAGGCATTTATCAAATTGTTGAATGTGAGTGAAAGATGATAGGCCGGAAGTGAGGTACGTGGAGGAGATGCAGTAGGAAGTGTGTGGGCAGATCACGAAGGCCTTGAAAACCATGTGAAGAAGCCTGGGCTACTTCTGGAGAGCAATGGGGAGCCATTGAGGACTATAAGCAGGGGAGAACCAYGACTGGTCTTCCATGTGAGAAAGATCTCTCCAGCAGCTTGGAGATGAATGAGTTGGGTGGAAACAAGAGCAGAGATGGAAAGACCCCGAGGTCCCTGCAGTGATCCCAGAGGACCTGGCACTGGGTGGGACCTGGGAACCAGGAGGAAGAGTTCACTTTGGTCAGGAGGAGGGCACCTCTGAAGTGTAAGGTGAGCCTGGGGAGAAGTGGGCTGTTTGTCACTTGTTCTGAGAGTCTTTGCTCYGTGTCTTCTTTGTCTTGCAGAGCTGAGCCCCTCCCTGGAAGGTTCTGAGCTTTCTYTTCCCATTGCTTCCCCTGGTCTCAGGACACTAGTCCTTGGCAAGTCCTTAGGAGGATGGACTGGGGGGCTCTAGGAGGCAGTCTCCCCATCCCCARTGTAATCCAGAAGGAGAGGCCAGAGTCCTGATGAAGTGAGCTTGGCAAGTTTATTGAAAACCCAGAAACACAAAGAGCAGCACAAACAGGTGGCACCCCAACTCCCACGTCTCTCTGGAGCTCGTAGACATAACCCTCCTGTGGCCAGGGCTGGGCCTCACACCACCAAAAGACAGAGGCAATGGAGTGCTACAGAGACCACCTCTCCACCCGCAGCCACCACCTCACCAATACCCCAGGAAGAGGAATACTAGGACATAAGCCACTGGAAGAACCACTGTGGGGTCCCTGGGCCACAAAAAACTGTGGGTATTTCTGGGCCAGGAAGAGAAGGAGAGAAGTGTCCCCAGGCAGGGAAGGCAAGAAGCAGGAAGCAAGAGTTGGGGACACCTGCACTGTGCAGTCCACACTGTGCTCCAGCTCCACCAAAGCTGAAGGTGGCCCTGGAGCCCAAACACCTGCTTTTGGCTTTGCCGGTCCTTTTCTCCCCAGGTACACTGCATCTGGAATTGGGCTCTATCTGCATTTCCCTGGGAAATGGACCGTGAGGAGTGATCCCAAGGAAGGAATCTGGGAATCAGAGAGAAGCCAGTCGGGCTGAGGCTGTGGACAGGGTATCTATACTGTGGCAAAATCCTTTAGGAGGTGTCTGACAAGGCACAGCTGCCCCTGGGGACAGCTTGCTGTTGGTGACTGGGCAGGAGGGGTGGCTAGAGACCTCTCAGGGGCACAAGCAGGGGTCATTGAGTTGGTTCTCCTCTGGACAGTGGCTGGGGCCTGGGGGTTGGCTTAGTACTTGGTCCTGCGAGAGGTGGTGGTGGACGAGAAGCGGACGCTGGAGCTGCGGGTACTGCGGCCACCACTGCAGCTGCTGAAGCTACCCTCAGTGGGCAGCGGGCACGGGACGCTGGGGGCGCAGGCCTCACCCACAAGCACTGAGCCCCCCTTGGTGCCCGTGCTCAGCAGGTCCCCGTGGCTGCCCCGTGCCCCACCCAGGCTGGAGCTGCAGGAAGTCAGGACCCCCCCTGTGGTGCGGATGCTGCTGCTGCCAGAGAAGGTGACTCCGCTGTGGGACAGGGTGGAGCCAGTGACCAGGTGCTCAGGCCCACACACCACGCCACCCCGGGTGCTGCTCACAGCTGCAGAGAAGAAACCATCAGAGAGGCTGACTCCAGGATCAGGGTCCTCTTTTCCTTCTCTTGTCTGGGTGGCCCAAAGACTGTGACTGCACTAAAACCCAACAGCCAGGTCCAGGGGGGAGAATTCTGGAAATTCCCCTGGATGTTTGCATCTGTCCATCTGCTGACTGTCATTCATATGAGGCCCAAGTTGGTGGGAGGTGGGGTTGGGGGCGGAGTGGGGGGGGTGGGCTAGATGACCCAGGCCCTGGAGCCTCTGGGAAGCTGTGACCTTCTCTCTGCCATTATACTGGGTCCCTGGTGCACCCCCACGTTTCCCACTTACTCCCCCATAAGAAACCCTGTCAACATGGGTCCTTTGTCAGCTCTGGACACACTTCCATGCCCCAGGACTTGAACCCTAACCTCTGCATAGACTAGCCCCAGCYGGTCACTACACACTCTTTCTGCCCCCTCCTCTCACCAGGGTCTTTGCTACCATCTGATCTCCCCTGGAGCTTAACCTCCTGCTGAAGGGCCACTGCTTGCTGCCCCTTCCCCTGCCTCCAGGGGCACTCTCCTCCTGGAAGGGGTAGCTCTGACCATCTGACCCACCCAGATTAGCACTCAGTCCCACCATGCATCTGTGTACATTTGTATTTTCGAGTCAGAAATCTGGATCTGGATTCTGCCTAGTCTTGTGACTTCTAGGAAATCACACCTGGTATGCCAAGGCCTGCTCCTCCTCCCAGGGGTCCTTCCAGGACTAGGGTGGCAGAACTAGGACTCACCTTTGCAAAAAGATTGAAATTCTAGAGAGCAGGGGCTGGCCTGGAGCTACCCCATAGTGCTCTGCTCAGTGTCCTGTGTACTTTGGGCACAACCAGTACTATTTGACAGGAGGGGGACCTTCTACTCAGTTGGTCCCATCCCTGCCATCAGGGAATGACAGACCTCCCTGGCACAGGCCTTTCCATTCCTTCTTTCTCTGAGATGGTTCCCTTGAAGGACAAGGTCATTCAAAGCAAAAGGGCTGAGTCTCTTCTGGAACTTTCTCTTACCTTGATGATTCTGCACACCCTTGTCAATGCTTTGCTCTGGGGAAGGCAGACTCCAAGAGATCTTGGACCTCAGCTGAGGACATGTCCCATTCCAAGGGGCAGGTGGCCCCTGCTTTCCTAACTGTCTTGGTCATAACCAAGGAGCTTCTTGGGAGGGCCCTGTACCCTGCATGAGCCTGAGTTTAAAAGAAATTTGAAGGAGAGAGAAATGTGAAGAGGAAAAGGTGTAAGCTACTTACATATGTTAACTGGGCCAACGCCTTCACAGATGCTGGAGAGAAAGGAACGATTTAGTTCACAGGCAGGGGACACTTGGCTCTCAGTCTCAGCTGTACATGCAATTGGGGAGCTTTGAAAAACCACATGTTCCTAGAGCCTACCCCCAAATTATTTTTTTTTGGCACTGAGGACTGAACCCAGGGGTGCTTAACCAYTGAGCCACATCCCCAGCCTTTTAAATATTTTATTTAGAGACAAGGTCTTGCTGAGTTGCTTAAGTCCTCACTAAGTTGCTAAGATCTTCTTGCCTCATCTTCCTACCTCAGCCTCTTGAGCCACTGGGATTACAGGCATGTGCCACCATTCCTGGCTTACCCCCAAACTACTGAATTAAAATATTTAAGGAAATGTATTGTTATTATTTTTAATAAACCGGCCAACCAAACAAAACTYATGAGACACTGTGCAGCTTGACAGACTTCACAATTGAGAGCACAGATCTAGAGCTACCTTCTAATCTCTGGACAAGGACAACCAACTTATGTTTGCGGAAAATGTATTGTCACCTCGGGGGGCAGCTTAGTTTAGCAATTCTTCCCCTGGCCCCTCCTCTTACTTGCTTAACCTTCCCAGACGCCTATGTCTGACCTCCTCCCTCCCAGAACACTCACCGGACTTCCTCGCCCTCTAGCAGCCTCCTGTAGGTGGCGATCTCGATGTCCAGGCCCAGCTTGGCGTTCATGAGCTCCTGGTACTCCCGCAGCTGTCGTGCCATGTCCTGCTTGGCCTGCTGCAGGGCGCCCTCCAGGTCTGCCAGCTTGCATTTGGCGTCACTGAGGGCCGCCTCGCCCTGCTGCTCTGCCTCGGCCACTGCTTCCTCCAGCTTGACTCGCTGCAGGGAGGGCAGTTTGCAGTTGGGCTTTGGCAGGGGCCCAGGGGTCCCGGGGGCGGGGGGTGGGGTGGGTTAGAAACACTGCCCATGGCTGATAGGGATGTAGCTGGGGCCAAGCCAGGGATGGTGATSCTGTAGTTTGCTGTCACCAGGGGTAGAGCATACTTTCCCTCCCTTTCCATACACATTGACTTCACCCTTCCTGATTTTTGCTGCCCATGGGGTCCAGAGAATCCACCTGTTCTTTCGACCTCCCCTCCCTCTCTCGGTCCGCCTCGGGTCATTCCTCCTACATGGGAGATTCTCCCTTCTTCCCTATTTCCTCCTCCAGGAAGTCTTTCCTGCACAAAGCCTCCATTCCTCTGTTTCTGGGTCTTGGCATGACCCTGACTTCATCGGACTTGGGGCTCCCCAAAGCGAGGGACCCTACCTCTCCCGCTCTATGGCTTTCTTTCGTTTTTTGTGCCCACCTGAGCCTTGGCATGCTCGATCTCTGCCTTCAACCTGTGGATCAGCCGGGTCAGTTCATTGATCTCGTCCCGGGTGTGGCGTAGGTTGTCACATTGTTGGCCAGCTGTCACTCGCATCTCTTCATACTGGCATCAGAAGGCAGTGTTTTGAAGTTTCAACGGTCAGGTAAAGACCACAGCCCCCACCAAGTTGGGAGCTTCAGAACTTCCCTGGCTCTACTCCATTGTAAGAAGCACCCTCCCCCCAGGGCTAGCCACACCTCATTTTGCCCACCTTGGTCTGGTACCAGGCCTCAGCATCAGCGCGGCTGCGCCTGGCCACCTCCTCATACTGAGCCTTGACTTCGGCGATGATCCCGTCAAGGTTCAGGTCCCTGCTGTTGTCCATCTTCACGATGACTGATGTCTCTGAGATGTGCGACTGCAGCAACTGGATTTCCTGTGTTGGAGGAACAGCAAGGCAGAAGGGCTCAGAGTCCCATCTGTGGCCCAGACCCTGCCATAGAGTCCCCAGGATGTGACTGGGATCAGGGGCAGAAAAACATTGCTATTTGGTTTAGGACACATCAAGATCCTCCACACTGAGGGTAAGRGAAAAGATGTGTCTGAGAACCATTTCAGTGTCACACTAGAACCTTTGCTATCTGTTGGGAGATAGCCCTTCAACCCTCTCCCTTGCTTAGGTTTTAAATAGTAAAACTGMAGTGTCCGTGGACTTGGTGGGGGGAGTGGGAGCCATGCTAGGGATTCAACTTTTCTTTGGCTCATCCAGAAAGTGGCTTTGCTAGTCACAGTCCATTGAGAGCTGCCAATATTTTAAACCATGGCCTTCCAAGTCTCAGAACTAGGAGGCTGGAGCTGGCTGGCAAGGCGAGGGCTCCTGGGAGTGTTCACTCAGGGTTTCTTTGCTCAGAGCTGAAAACTCAGCTCTGCCTGGGTCGGCTCCAGAYGAAACAGAACACATATGAAGCAAAAGATAACGAGTTAGTTTGTCTACTGGAGCAGAAACACGTTTTCTTACATCTCCTGGCAAATCAGTTTTCCAGAGTCATCTGGCCAGTAGAAAGGAAGTGACATTCCTAGACCCCTGTCCTTAGCTTGGCTCATGGAGATTTGGATCACACATGCAAGGTGGCCATTCATAGGCCTGAGCCAGGCTGCTGAGAAGCCTGCTCCCCTGACCTGCTCCACTTGCAGATCCATGACACAGCACAYAGACTTGGGTGGTAGGATGTAGGATGCCAACGTTTGAAAATATGCCAGCCTAAGCTAAGCCACCGGGAAGTCCACGTCAAGCACTGATCCCCTTGGATGCCTTAGAGATGAGCCTCACCTCCRTGTACAGGGTTTTAAGGAAGTCAATTTCCTGAGTTAGGGCATCCAYGTTGGCTTCTAGATCAGATTTATTCAAGAAAGCTGTGTCCACATCCTGCATAGAAGAGAGAAGGATAAGATACTCATTACCTGTGTGCTGCTTGCCCTTCCCAACTTGGCAGGATCTGCRAATGGGTGGAAGATCTGGTCAGTTTCCACAGGACCAATTCCTACAGGCTTTTAGGATGGGTGGAATRTCACTGAGTGGAAGTGACTATGGCTCTTCTGAGAAMTCCTCCAGAGGCTGCTGGAARTTCTCCAGTGCTCATTTGAAAGCAAGGATTATGTAGCTAATTCAGAATACTTAAAAGATCATCTTTTCATACCTCTGATTCAAGTGACCCAATGAAGTAATCTGATGCCAAATCAGAATTTCCAAGGGAACCTGATGTGATCTTTGGGGTTCTGCTGTCTTTGTGTACTCACAAAGCACTGATCTCCTCAGATGCCTGAGAGATGAGCCTCACCTCCGTGTACAGGGTTTTAAGGAAGTCAGTTTCCTGAGCTAGGGTATCCACGTTGGCTGAGTTAGGGTATCCATGTCTATATCTGAAGATARATGCCAGCCATTCCTGGCAGAGCCTACCTTGTAGAGGAAAGTACATTTGGGGTGGGTGTGGTACTAGGAGGTGTATTCTGGGATTGTAAATCATACCCACCACCTCAGATATCCCATCCACTGAGATGTGTAGAGCTGGAGAARAACTCACAGCCCCCAMCCCCATGTKAGACATGGAGACACTGGAGCTCACAGAGRTTCCCTTCCATTTTYRAACATAGTCCCTGATTCCATGGGACTCCCTGGGATGTTTCTGGGGGCTCTTGAGAATATTTGCCCTGCCGGAGGAGAAATTTGGGTTTGTTGCTCTTCTTTACCTTTTTCAGAKTCACAAACTCATTCTCAGCATTGGCTCGGAATCCCACCTCCTCCTCATACCTGGATGATAAAGATGAAGGGRTTAGTTCTCACTGCAAACTGAGAACCAGTGACTCCTAAGCCCCCAGCRAGCCTCTGAGGAACTCTCTGCTCCACTGAGTAACGTGGCTCCCTGTTCCATCTTTAAGACCTATGAGTTGGTGGCCTTAGTTCTTCCAAATCCATTTTACCTTTTCAACTTGGATTTGGGGTCTGGAGTTCTGGACCATTGCTATACCCCTCTGTTAGAAATGACTTAGGGTCATTGCACTTGACCATTGACAGAGTAGGATCTGACTCAATGCTGAATGTGGGCATTGTTTTCAGAATCAAGGGAATCCTTTTTCTGGGAATCTCACTCATTCCCACTGGCAGTATTAGGGATAAACCATGCCCAATTCCAAGACTTCTTTATCCTCAGGAATCATGGAGGCACTCTTCCTCCCCCTTCACATATTACTATCCTCAATCCTGTTCCCAAGCTGTGTATTGTAGCCAACCAATTCCCACCCTCCCAGTTGCTGTCATATGAGCTGGGCTGCTGCTTTGGGAGCAGCCTGTGCCTGTCATCAGTGTGTGCAATCCGGGTTCCACTCACTTCTTCTTGAAGCCCTGGAGGACATCCTGCAAGTGGTTCCTCTCAGCCTGCAGCCGGGCCTGGTCACTGACCAGTGTCTCCAGCTGCCTCCGCAAGTTGGTGATGTAGTTCTCAAAGAGAGGTTCTAGGTTGCTCCTGGCACATTTCTGCTCTTGGAGGAAGCTCCACTTGGTTTCTAAGAGCTTGTTCTGTTGCTCTAGGAACCGTACCTAGATCCACAGGGACAAAGAAATGAAGTGTTTGATAGAGTCCCCACATGTTGGCCAGTTCTCTAGATGGCTGGCAATGAATCYCCATCACATGTGGACAGTGTTGTCTCTTTTGTTGACTTTCATTCCTCTTCCAATGCAGGTCACACTGGAAGGGCATGTCCATGACCCTCTACTCACGTTCAGTCAGTCTTGACTACAAATAGACATGTTTCAGTACAATCCCCTCTTTCTCCCGTAAGAAAGATGTAAGACAGTTCATGGGGAAGGTGGAAAGACTGATTCTGCTTAAGCTGGGGTTTGTCTATAGCTGAAAACAGATGCCAGCCGTTCCTGGCAGACCATACCTTGCAGAGGAAAGTACATTTGGGGTGGGTGTGGTACTAGGAGGTGTATTCTGGGATCATAAACCATACCCACCACCTCAGATATCCCATCCACTGAGATGTGTAGAGCTGGAGAAGAACTCACAGCCCCCACCCCCATGTTAGACSTGGAGAAACTGGAGCTCACAGAGGTTCCATTTTCAAACATAGCCCTAGCTTCCTTCTCCATGGACATGGCCTTGGGAGGTCAAGTCTTTTGGAAGTTCCATGTCACTGTTCCTCTGTATCAGTGACCTCCAGTGTTGGGAACTAGATTTCCCTCAATCTAGGCAACTTGGCTAAACATTCACAGGAGGATATATTTTTTTCTTTTTACATGAAAATTACTCAATTCACTGTCCACTTTCCTAATCCTGCACAGATGGGGCCACCCAGCTTCAGAAACTGAATATCTTATTAAGGAAACCACAATCTCAAAGGATTAAATCTTTTGAATTTACAACACTCTACACCTGACTGAAGTCCTGGTACTTCYAGCCTGTTGAGGAGACATTTCTAAGTGACCAGATAGTAGGTCTCATTTTTTCCCAGACGCCCTCAGCTTTGGCTAGCCGCCCCTCCTTCCTCCAGAAGACATGACCAGGCCTTGGCCTGTGTCACCATGTAGCAGTTTCTCTGGCTTGTCCTCGTTCCTTGACAGAACCTCCTTTGGTAGACACCCAAAGGATCTGGGTCAAAGGTGCTGCCCCAGAGCTGGACTAGTTCTTTTTAAGAGGCAGAACTCCCAAGACTTTAGCCTCTCTATCCCAGACCCAGAGATTCAGCCATTATAACTACCTTGTCAATGAAGGAGGCGAACTTGTTGTTGAGGGTCTTGATTTGCTCCTTCTCATCCTTCTTCACCCTCTGGGCATTGGGGTCAATCTCCAGGTTGAGGGGCGTCAGCAGGCTCTGGTTAACAGTCACCGCTGTGATAGATGGGGCTGCTGGTCCTCCAATGCCTCCAACTCTGTAGCCAAAGCCAGGGCCGCTGAAACCATGGCCAAAGCCACTGCCACCTCCAAAGCCCAGACCAACACCACTGCAGGCCCTAAATCCCAGACCGACACCACTCCTGTCACCAAAGCCGAAGGCCATCCTACTGCCAGGACCAAAGCCAACTCCACAGCGGGTGGGATGAGGGCCTACAGCTGCCATCCGGGGTGCATGGGACCCAAAGTTGATGACACTCCGACTACCAAAGGCACCAAGGCCCYGGAGACCAGGCCCACTCTTGCAGGGGACAGAGCTGGCCTGAAAGTGGCTCAGGTTCTGGGGGGTCACAGCTGAGCAAGAGCTGAAGCTGCCCATCCTGCACCCAGAGCTGACTCTGTAGGAGCGACAAGACATGGTGGCTTCCTCCTGGGTGAGAGCCAAGGATGATTGCAGAGTGGGGCGAGCTGGAGTGGGGAGTCCCTTTGAGGCTAGTGGATCCCTCTCACCCCTTTTATGTATGTGGGGATCTGAGGATGGGCCCAATAAAAATGAAAAAGGCATTTATGAGCTTGGGTAGTTAGCAGAAACTCTTCATGCCTATAACCTCCTTAACAATGAGCTAACTCGGACACACCTATTCTCATCAGGATGAGGACTGTAACATCAGACCCATAAACATTAAAAACACATAAACACATAAACATTATGGTCCTATTTTTCCCCATAAGTCCACCACAATTGCCATTATGGGGACATTAATTTGCTTTGGTCATAAATTCAGAGGTTTTTCCACTGCCAGTGTGGCTAACCACCAGAAGGTTAGGATGCTAACAGTCATGGCCAGAGGCTCATGAGGGGTGCATCTGTGCAGACATGTCACCCTAAAAAGGTAAGTGGTTGTACAGAGGAGAGAGACAGGGTCTGTGCAGCTCCACGTAAGAAGCGATGGCAAGAGAATATGTTTTTTTTTTTTTAACATCTCTGCGGATAGATGGAATAATCAAAAGACCTTTTGCAGTGTTTTATCTCTTCTCCATGATCAGGTTTGGGTGTTTACATAAAAGTTAAATCCATAGTAAAGTTTGTTTGGGCCAGTGTTGACATAGCTCTGATTTGAGACGCTCAAAGGAGATTCATTCATTTAAGAATTGATTGTCCACCCTGTGCCAGGCAGTGTGGGTCTGTGTGTAAAGTTAACCACAAGGTTTGGAGCTCTTCCAATAATAAATCATAGGGCTGATTTATAATCCTGCCTATGCAGGTTACTTATTATCAATGAATCTTTGGTTAAGGTACGGAGACACACAGCAATAAGCATCTGGATAGAAAATGAAAAGTTCAAAGCAGCTGGATATTGTTCTTGTTCACAACGTTGGACATTGAAGCTGATTTACCTTTTCTGTTCTCTTATGTGACATGGTTCCTCCTTGTTGTCCTGTGCCTGGGAGAACTTGTGTTTGGAAGCTTGAGCTTCTTTGAGAAGCTTAGGATTCTACTAAGAAGGGAATATGTGCTCTGGACTGGAAGTATACAGCTCAGGTGTGCACTATTTTTCTGTAGATTCAGGTATCAGCTGTGTACCTAAGAGGAAGGAAAAGCTGGAAAATAAATAACAAGTCGAGCTCCCAGTGGCCTCTGTGTTGCTGTGTTCAGTGCTGTTCTGGGTCTTCTTTTCCCTCAACTCAGCCATATTTGACATACTCGGTTCATCCTTGATGCACGTTCTGTGTCCATTTCCAAGCATCATATTCTCTCAATTTCTTTTTAGTCTTCTTAGCCAGTTCTTCCTCATGCCCCTAACCTCTACACATCACAGCGTCCCTGGACTCAGTCCTGTGCCTTTTCTCATCTTTGCATACACCTTGGTGACATCAGCCAGACTCACGACTTTAAAGACTGTGCATCAGCTACTCCCCAGGCAGGGCTCTCCCCCAGATCTCCCCACACATGTGTTTTAATTGATAGCTCCATTTGGATTTTAGACAGGAAACTTAATCCTAGTGTGTCCCAAGATGTTCCCCAAATCATTCCTACTAAATACTTTCTACTTTGCCATCCTCAGTATCCCTGAAGCAGCTCAGACCAAAAATCTTGGAGTGGTCCCCGTTCCCTCTGTTTTTGCCATTTCCCTTGTTCCATCCATTGGCGAGTATATCTGGATTCTTGCCTCTCCACTGCTGCCATGTGGGTCTAAGACTGTCACTCCTCACTGGCTCCATCCATTCATCCTCCAGCTAGACTCCCTGCTTCCTGGACTGCACCTTCAGACTTCTCTCAACATTATGGTCAGGGGGATCCTTCAAAAACCTGTAAGGCCATATCACTTCTGTGCTCAGAGCCAATGCCATGGAAGATTCTCCAGCATGCCTCCCATTCCTGACCTTCCTACTGCTCACTCTGCTCCCACCACTGTGGGCTCTGGCTTGTCCATCAAACAGGCAGAAACACTCCTGCCTTAGACATTTACCAACTTGCTGGTTTCACTGCAAGGATATTTCCTCTCAAAAGCTCCTCAGCCATGTCCCTTAACTCTTCCAGGTCTTTGATCATGTTACCTTCTGATCTCCATCCAAGCTCCCTGCTCCTTTTTCCTCAGCACTTCTCACCATCTGAGGTTCATCTCTTGCACAGAATTGCAGTCTATCATCTGTCCACCCTGGCTGGAGCATAAGCTTTAAGTAGTGACAACGTTGTGGATTTTGTTCTCCTGGGTGACCCCAGTACTTGGTAGAGTGAGGGCACATGGCAGGTATGCTACCTAGTTCTGTTGAATGAATAAATACACCACAAAAGTTAAAATCAGGAAGAGAAAGGAGAGAGGAGAGCAGAGAGGATAAAGAAGAGGAATTGGGGCATTTGTTTTTGCAGATATTTTAGAAAGAGAGTCTCTAGGCTTCACAGTGAGCAGGAATGACCCTGGAGATGCTGGTGGTGCAGAAACTCAAGAGCTCACAGGAGAACTAGTCCAGATTCTCCAGATCCTGCGTCTAGAGGCTTGAATCTGTCTGGTTGAAGGAAAAGACACCTCACTCTTCTAAGGATAGGCAAAAGTTTCCAGGATATTGAGAAGGGAACCACTGGAGGAGAAAGAGGGAGGGGGAGCAGGAGGATGCCATCGAGGGCACCAGTGAGGACAGAGAACTTGATATAGATTTTGGAATCAGATGGACCCGGGTTCACTCCAGTTTTGCCACCTGTCAGCAGTGTGATCTGGGAGAGGGATGCACTGAGGGGAGGATGGTGACAGCATCCTGCTTCAGGTGCGTACAGGCCGTAAGGGGTGCTTGATTGTAGACAACTTGAAAACAGTATTGCAACCAGCTAAAATCTGTTTTTCATTATCAACATGCCCTGGCTGTTCTAAATAATGCTGGTAGTCAAAGATCACCCTGATTCCATGGCATATCAGTGACCTTGGCCGGGCGGGGGTGGGGGGTGTTTAACCTCTCTGAGCCTCAGTTTCCTCATGCGTATATGGAGTTAGACCTGCTTCACATCGTTCCAAGGATTCAACGTGGACACATTTGGGATGTGTGTTGTCAAGGCCTGGGGACCCTTCCCGAGCTCCATTGCTTTCCCTCCCCCTTTTCCTCCTTCCTGTCCTCTCTACCTTTTTCTCTCTCTTTTGCCTAAACCTCCCTCCATTTCTGGGCAGTCCTCCCTATTCCTGTCCTGCAACCCACACCCCTCCTGTGTCTCATTATCCCATTAGGCATTCCTGGGCTGTCCCAAGTTTCAGCTTCCTTGATCCCTGAGCAGAACGGGTGGAGTGGGGGTGACTGGGACCAGCCAAGCCTAACCCTGTCACCATCAGCACTTTATAGTTCTGAGGTATCATTTCACCAGATGATGCATAACACAACACTCAGACATTTTCAAGGGGGTGGCAGGTAGAGAGGGGGGAGGAGTTGTCCTGGCAACCCTGGGCTCCAGGTTTTGCTGCCGTGACAGTTTCTTTTTGCTGTCGTCAGTCCACCTGAATGTAATCCTGGAGATCTGGCTGCGCCCAGCCGTGGCTCCTCAGCTGTGTCACTGGCCGACTGCTGGGTCATCATGATGCTATCTGTGGAGTAGGGAGGCGGGCCCAGTGGCAGGGGAGGGGACCCCCTCCTGGTTGGCTGAGCAGGGTCTGGGAACCCTGGGCATGCGGTGTGGCAGGGTGTGTGTGGGTTGGGTGGGGGGGGATGAAAGGGGACAGTCCAGGCGCTGAGCAGCCTTTGCTAAGTGCCGCCTTCTGAGTGCTTCCATTTTGCCCGGGGATGAGTTTGTGCTGGAGCGAGGCACTGGCCAGGGAGGAGGTCCTTTCTCACGCTGAGACCTGCCCCTGCTGGGAAAGCACGTTGGGAGTCCCCACAGAAGGAGCCGGAATGGGAGGGGAGGCTGAGTCCACTCTTGCCCATACCTCCACCTCTGCCCACTCAGACTAATGACCACTTGCTTGAAACCCAAACATCTCCCCAGGGGAGATAAAGTGCCTCTTCTCATTGGGCACCCTCTTCCTGCAGGAAGGATGAGGTTTTCAGGTTTAAGCCAAATTCCTCCCATTACTCACGCAGTGCCATCTGGCCAGAGTGAAAATGTTCCTGCTAGGTGCGGTTTGCTTCAATAACCCTTCACTGAGTGCTCCTGTGTGCCCAACACTGTAACTAGGTGCTGGGATGGCCAAGGGAGCCCTTTTTCTGCTATCAGATCCACTGACTGAATCACTGCGCCATTTAGGAAGTCATTGTCCCCTGCCAAGATTCTTTCTGGGTGCTCAAGTAACCCTAGTAGAGAGAAGCAGCAGGTAGAGGGCTTGGGGCCACAGTGAGGAAGGGACCATTTGAGGCAGAGGCAGTGGGCACCTGGGGATGGGCCATCGGAGCAGGTCAGGGTGTGTGGGGACAGGAGAGGTTCTACGTGAGTACTTGAGAGCCAGGAGAGGATAAGGGACAAGGAAATGGAGACATTCTGGGAAGACAGGAACTCCATCTTGGTCCTTCTACCATCCCCGACCTGCTTGTTCCCACGCTGTCCTCCCTGGCACTCTGCGTGGGATTGAAAGCTGGATTCTCCAGGCAGAGTCAAACGTAGTGAAGTTCTGGCTTGCTGTAGACGGTTCTTAGCCTGCCTCCACCCCCCAGGCTGGTTCCTTTTGTATCCCAGCACCCAGGGAGCTGGCCCAGAGGGGAAGGAAGCTCAGGAGGTGTTTCCTGAGTCGAATGGAATGAGAACACTGTGCTACCACCAGGAGGCGCTTTTGTCTCACCTGTTTTGAGCCATCACCACCCCATGGGAGGAAGGGAGAATGGGTTACTGCTAGACAGTGAGGAGTGGGGGAGTCCTTGGAATGTTCTAGAGGGGACAAATCCAGGTCCATGAGCTTATCTCCAGACCTGAGCAGGGGGCGCCCCACTGCTGGGATGAGTAGTGCTTAGTACATGGTTCCAGGCAGCCTCCCCTTTCTAGCAGAACTGTTAAGGGCCCAGGTACTTGGGAACCAAAGTCTAAAAGGGGTGGCAGGCAGGCCAGAGAGGCCCCCTGTGAGGGTGAAGGATCAGTTTAATTTTTATTCAGCTCAGACACCTAAAGGGGGGCGTCCCCGGGCCTCAGGTAGTCTTCTTTGAGATAGAGGTGGCCAGTCTCTTTGGAATCTCAGGTTTCGGTGTACTCCTGGCCAGAGTGTTTCTGTTGCTTCCAGAGCTGAGTGATTAATGGGCTGGGAGCTCTCTGGTTTCGGGGCCAGGTCCAGAGCAACAGGGATGCAAGTGGCACTGAGGCTCCTGAGGCCCACCATCCCCTCCCTCCTTCCCTCGCACCTGGCACACACCTCTGGGATCACAGGCTCTGCTGGGCCCTGGGCACGTGTCCTTCCACTGGAAGCTCCCACTGGCTTCCTTCCCCTCACAGTCCTGCGGCTGTTGGGATTCAGGCTGGCCTGCTTCCTGCTACTTCTCCTGGGAAGCTTCCAGAGTCCTGTGACTCAAGAGGGACCCTCGGTTATATCTCCCATGTCCCTCTGCTCTGCCACCTTCACAATAGTCCTGGTAGCTGGAGTTTCCTGTTCCAGGCCCACATTACTGCTAAGCTGTACATTCCACGGTCTTGGGTCAGGCTCCTTTTAAAAGGAGCCTCATGGACCTGCTATACTCATTGATAATGTATGATTCAATGAATTTAATCTATTCCCAGATATGTGGAACCATCATTGCAGTCAATTTTACAACATTTTCATCACTTAAAAAAAAGAGAGAGAGAGAAATTTTAGTTATCTCCCAACTCCTATCACCTACTTCCTCCAGCCCTAAGCAGCTACCACTCAGCTCCCTCCCTCTCTAGATTTCCCTGTTCTGAACTTCCATTGCATTTATTATGTGAATGAAATAAAATAATAGGTGGTCTTTCGTGTCTGGCTTCTATCACTTTGTAAAACTTCTTTATAGTTCACCTATGTTGTGACAGGTATAATTATTCCATTCTTTTTTTATGCCCAAGATAGGATTCCATTGTATGGATACGGATCCCATGTCCTTGATCCATTCCATTCACCTATTGATGGGCATTTGATTGTTTCCACCTCCTGGCTACTTTGAATCATGTCGAAAGTTTGTGTGGCCATGTATTTTCATTTCTCTTGGTATATACCTAGGAAAGGAATTGCTGGGTCATATGGTAACTCTATGTTCAAGAGTTTGAGGAACTGCTAGAATGTTCTGCACATCACTGTACCATTTTACAGTCCCTATCCTGGGCCCTCAGTGCTGGGCCTGCTGTATGTACAGGGCTGTCTTGTTCACCGTGGTGCTATCAGGTCCTGGATGGTCTGACCCAAGCCTGTGCTTGATAAATATATATTGTGTGACTGAAAAAGTGAATGAATAAGTTCTATTGAACATGTGGCCACAAATCTGCACCTCCAGGCTTCCTGTCAGATTCTGTCCTTGCAATCTTCCCTTTGAGCTTCTCTCTGACTCTCTTTTCAGCACAATCATTTGTTGCTTCTTGTTGTTCTCATACTTTTTAGCATCATTATTTATGACTCCTTGATGAGGCTGAGAGTCCCTCCAGCGGTGAGAGGGTGTATTTGTCATCTCTGTATCACTGGCTTCCAAAGCAGCGCTTGGCACAGGATGGGTGCTCTGTGGCTGTGAAGGGAGGGCTTCATCCCAGCTCTCAGGAGGGGGAGAGAGCCCTAGGGGAGTGGCTGTTTCAGGGGTCATTGAGGCAACAGGGAAGGGCACTGGAACCTTGCAGAGGGTAGAACCACTGCCACTGAATCTTGTCTCCAGGTCTCAGGGTTTTCCAAATGGGAAGAGGAGGTTGGAGTGTCCTGGGCTTCCTTCCTTGCTGGGCTGATGCCCATCGTCACTGGTTTGCCCAGGCCGCGACTGTGTAGGCCCTGGGGATGGTCCAGAACAGGGAATGGAGCCCAAACAGAGTTTGGGGACTGCTACATCTAAACATGATAGCGGGCCCCAGGGTTTTCTATAGACTGTATGCAAGGCCCCAGGCAGTGAGGAGGCCTCTGTATAATACGGTTGCTGTTTTAACATGGCAAGTGACATGCAAAGTAGTGAAGTGTGATATGCAGGTTTTGAGTATGAATTGTATGGAGCCATATTTATTCCACAGGCCACTTGCAAATCAGGTGTGTGTTGTTTTCCCATTGGTAGAATGACTTTCCTTCCCATTCCCAAGCTTCCAGTCCCTAAAGATGGCTCATGATTCCTTTCAGCCTTATCTCACCCCCCTCCCCCGCCCCCCTGACACAGAGCGGGATGAGCAATCCTGATTCTCAAAGTGTGAATAAAGTTAGTTTATTGGGAACACGAAGCCCAGGAGCTCCGGGCAGACAACTTGTATCCCTGGTGGGCAGGGCTCCTGGGAGGTGGGTGAGCCCAGCACCTTCTCCTCCCTTTCCCAGATTCCAAACTAGAGCCTCCAAGTGGCTGGGGCAGCTCCACAGAACTGTTGTGGAGAAATGTGTTCATGTAGACCCAAAGCCTCAAATATAGAGGAGCTAAAGGGAAGAAGCAGGAGCTGTTGGCTACCTACAGAATATGGGGTGGGGAGTGGGGCTTGATCCCATTGAGTAAATAATGTCAGCTCTTGATCATCCTTCTGCCCAGTAACTATTTCAAGTCTTCTTACCCTTTGTTTCAGGAATATTCCACCATTCACTGCCAATGTGGGCTCAGGCAACAGACTCATGTGTGTAGTTTGAGATCAAACAAATTTATGTAAGTAAAGCTACTACCCAAAGACTGCTTTTTGAGTCTTGGTGCTGGCAGGACATGGGCAGATCCCAAATGATCTGAAATCGTGGCACTTGGCTTTGGAATTCAGAATGGGATTTGGTGATGGTCTCCTTTTGATGTTTACAATAGTGCATATTTCAGGAGGGTGCTAAAAGAGGTTTACTTTTTTTAGGTACATGAGGGCCAGTGGAAAGAAAGGTGGGAGGCTTGGGTGGAGTGCGGAGGAGGAGACTGGCTTTGAGGGGAAACTTTCATGGGGTTTTCTGCAAAGCAGAACTGTGATGTGCCCATTTGGTCTTATCTGAAAGTGAAGTGATTGGGGTTATTGCCATTCCTAGGCCACACCAGGGCTGACTGTCACTAGTTTGGGAGGGACAAAAGAAATGCATCCTCTCTCTCTGCATCCTACCTCACTTCAGGTCTCATTGCAGATTTTGTACCCAGTTACTTGAAAATAAAGATGAACTTGAAGGTCAGCTCAACCCCAAACAGAAATCCCAGGGGTCTCTGGAGTCAATACAGGAAGGGCAGGATTTTGGAACAACTTTTGGCCCTGGGGGTACAACATCTAGGGCCCTGTCCCCTGGGTTTCCGGTGTTGGGGGCCAGTGCTAACATTAGTGCGTGCAAGAGCTGCCCCCAGTCGCCAGTTTCATGTTGGAGCTCCGCCCACTCCCACAGCCCAGGAGCCCCTGGGCCTCGCAGGGGATGTAGAGTTCCCCGGTGCCCACCACGCTGCAGCCCCCGCTGCTCCTGAGGACACCTGTGCTTCCAGGGCAGTACTCCGTCCTCAGCATGGGTGTGCCCACCACACAGGGCTCATACAGGACAGCGCCTTTGGAACTGCTCACCGCTGTGGGAACATGAAGGGATGCTCAGGACCCCACTCCATGTGGCTCTGAGGGAGCTGCCCTGGAACTTCTCAGCCAGGCCACACCTCCCACCTGCTGCCACTCACCTCCAGCTACCAACTTCCATGTCTCCCCACCCTAGCAACATCCAGTGCTTGGAGATCTCCATGGGCTTCTCTCTCTTCCTCAGAGCCTTGGAGAGGTCAGGCCTGATGTCACCCCCTCTCAGCTTCTCCTTGTCTTCTCTCTCCCTTTTGTGTCTACCTCAAACCCTTGCCCTTTAGCAAAGCATCCTCTGGTCTATGTGGCTTCTTGGGGACTCTGAGACCATGCTGGGCATCTACTCCTAGTTGTGATACCCCAAATATGGATAGTCCTGCCAGAGACCTTCTCCATCAACCCAGGGTTTTTTGTGAGGTGGGGGATGCCCCAGAGGTCTGGATGGAGTGGTGCCAACTTGTAGGTTGTGTTATCAACTCCCACGACCTGACACTTTAGGGCCAAGGTTCATCTACTTACAGATATTCACGGGCCCGATGCCTTCACACAGCCTGGAGAGAGGAGGAGACAAGGTGACTGCATCAGAAAAAAATGAAGTGGGAAGGTGCTTGCCTAGCATGTGTGCTGTCCCCGGGTTGCCATCCCCAGTACCACAAAGAAAAAACAAAGAAATAAGCAGAGCGAGGCACTCCAGGTGGAAGCTCCCCTTCTCTTGCCCTCACCATGCCGAGCAGGAGGGCTCAAGGACTGTGTGCTGTTCTGGATTTTCCACCACCCGTGGGTGGTCACGGCAACACTTCAGGCTAGGTAACACCCTGATCCCCGCCCTCCCTTGCAGAGCTCACCTGTGCTCCTCGCCCTCCAGCAGGCGCCTGTAGGTGGCGATCTCGATGTCCAGGCCCAGCTTGAAGTTCATCACCTCCTGGTACTCCTTCAGCAGCCTGGCCATGTCCTGCTTGGCCTTCTGCAGGGCCTCCTCCAGCCCCGACAGCTTGCACTTGGCATCGCTCAGGGCYGCCTCGCCCTGCTGCTCTGCCTCGGCTATGGCGCCCTCGAGTTTGCAGCGCTGGGGGAGAGGGCACGGAATGGCATCACTGGGGGCCCCTGAATCCCTGAGTGGGTTGCTCAGAAGGATAAGCAGACATGTGGTGGCACCTGCCAGGTTTGAATTTGCTGTGGGCTTTATCCTAGGATTGTGACATCTGGCTCTCCTGGGAATGGGGAATTGTTTTTTTCTGGAAGACACTCAGGAGAGCTGAGATTCCCTCCTAGATAGGCTTAGCACTGGGGGTGGAGTGGGGTTAAGCTCTTATAGAAAGGATCTACTTCTTCACCAGTGGAGGCGGCCAGGTTTATTACTTCCTCCGCGGTGCTCCCTGGGAGGGTTGGACCTGCCCCACAGCCTGCGGGAGAGTCACCTGTGCTGGGCTCTCACAGCAGAGGCCTCCCCCGCCTCACCTGAGCTTTGACAGTCTCAATATCTTGCTGCAGCCGCTGGATCAGCTTGTTCATTTCCAGGATCTCATTCTTGCGGTTGCGGAGGTTGTCACAGTGGTTCCCAGCTGTCTGCCTCAGCTCCTCGTACTGCCGGGACACAGGAGTTACACCTCCAGGCTCTGCACTGTGGCATCTCCTAGCTTCTTCCTCACTGTCCCCAGGCTTTTCTCCAGTGACTTCCTAGCTTGGTGCTCTCTGGTTTCTGATACTTGTCCTGCTTTCAATTCCCTTTTTATTTCTGGCCAATGTTGATGTCCTTCCATGGGCTGCTCCTTATTTCTGTTTCATCCCTCAGTTCTGAGACTTCAGGCTTGTTAACTTCCCCTCCAAGCTCCAAGATCTTCACCTTCCCTATCAGATCCCCTTCTCTCTGCCCCAGAGCCCTAACCGTCTGAGGACTCTCTCCCTTTTAGATGTCCCTCTGGATTTTGGGAGGGGGTTCTGTGCTCAGCCTGGAAAGCTAACAGATCAATAACTCAAAACAATCAAAACCAAAATGCAAAGTTATGTCTTACCTAAGCTAAACACTTTTTGAAAACCTTGTCCCTTTGCATTCAATTTCTGAAGAGTAACTGTATACAGATTACATTTGTATATTATTTAAAAAAATTAGCCGGCTTTAGATTTTCTGATAGTGGATGGGAATATCTTTCATAAGAAAATACAAAGCAAGGGGATTATAGCTCAGWGGTAGAGGGCTTGTTTGACATGTGTGAAGTCCTGGGTTTGATCTCAGCACCATAAAAACAAACAGGTCTGGAAAACATGGCAGCTGAGTCATTCCCCACTTAATTCATATTAAGCACAATCAAGTTGGCTCTTCTGTTATTGGGTTACTGTGGGGAAATCTGCAGCTGCCTAAAAAATATCCACTCCTTTTCCCTTAAAACAGAACCCTTTGAATCCAGATAGGAGAATATTTCCCAGCTTCTGATCAATGAGGTCTATGGTCATTGCTGGGTAGGGATTCTAGGAAAGCTTTTTAAGTGGGGAATGACTCAGCTGCCATGTTTTCCACCTTCTAGTTTTCTCCTTCTTGCTGAACATGAGTGATGTTTGCATCTATCTTGAGACATGAGGCAATCATGAGCCTGAAAATGTATGTTAAAGATGGTAGAATAGGGTCTGGGGCTGTGGCTCAGCAGTAGTGCACTTGCCTAGCATATATGAGGCACTGGGTTTGGTTCTCAGCACCACATATAGATAAATAAAATAAAGGTCCATCAACAACTAAAAAAGTATTTTAAAAAAAGATGGTAGAATTGACTGGGCAAGTGGCACATGCCTGTAATCCCAGTGGTTTGGGAGGCTGAGATAGGAGGATTTCAGATTCAAATCTAGCCTCAGCAACTTAGTGAGGTCCTGAGCAAATTAGCAAGACTCTATCTCTGGACCAAATATATACATAGGACTGGGGATGTGGCTCAGTGTTTAAGTGCCCCTGGGTTCAATCCCCAGTCCAAAAAAAGGCGTAGAATGGAATGTTGGAATGAGATGGACATCATCACCCTAAGTACATGTATGAAGACACGAATGGTGTGAATATACTTTGTATACAACCAGAAATATGAAAAATTGTGCTCTATATGTGTAATATGAATTGTAATGCATTCTGCTATCATATATAACAAATTAGAAAAAAAAAGGATCCTGAGTGGTATGATCCTGGGCAGTCTATTTTTGTACTGTATCACATAAAAAAAATAAAAACTAAATTTAACTATTTTTTCAAAAATTTCTGATTCTTATAGCTAACTAAATACAATCTTTAACTAATAGAATCATCTTTATGGTTCTGACGGGATGATGGGAAACTGAGCTTGTGTTCCCTGAGCCCACTTGACTGATGGATGGTCCAGGAGCAACCAGAGGAGGGGCCAGCAGGGTGAAGCTGGCCATGGATGGGCCACAGACGGAGTCACCAGGGCTGGCTCCAGGCCAGGGTTTGTTATTTCTGATTACCACAGATCTTCAGAAAATAGGCAGAGCAGTACTTGAGGCCCTGGCTGGGTGGGTTACCTATTACCTTCAGAAAGAGCCCCCAAATATTTGGCACAGCCCTGCAGACGTGTGGCGACCCAGCCCCCAACTGTCTGTCTGGACCCAGCTCCCTCACAGCACACCGGGACCTCACTTTCTTGCCTCTGCGTCTCCTTCCTTCTGCTCCTCAGCCTGCTTCCCCAGTCCTCTGCTTATTGACATCTCTATGTACTGACAATTCTTCTGCTGTTCAGGGACAGCGTGTTGCTTCTGTCTCCAGGCCCTGGAATCTGCTGCTTGACCTTGGCAATCACCACGCACTCTTTGTCTCTCATGGTGATTAGTTATCCGCTCCCCCTATCCCCCAGAAATATAACTCCTCGAGAACAGGGCTGGTCCCACTCTTGGTATCCTGGATGTCGCCCTGCTCCATAGGGCCATCTTTCGCTGGCCCCCTATCTAAGCCACCCTCCACACACTCCCTACCCTCTACCTGACCTGTTTCCTCCCTAGCATACACCACTGTCTATCATACATCCTCTGGACTTCCTTGTTTCCTTCATTGTCTGCCCCCTGCCTCTGCCTCTAAGAAGGAAGTGACATGTGGGCCAGGTTGCTGTCTGTTCTGTTCGCTGCTGGATCTCCAGCTCCTAGCACCCGGTGGATCCTCAATGAACAGTTGCCTGAATGCACGAACCAGTGAGCGGACGCATGAGCAGTGCCTTTCACAGACAGGGCAGTGGCACTGAGATGATAGTGTTTGTTAACTCAGATTGCCCTCAGGGGCTCCCCTGCCCTCCCAGCAATCCCCTAATTACTAAGTCTGGGCCCACCTTAATCACTGTTTCTGCTGTACCATTAGTAACCACCCCATGCCACCAGCCTCCCACGTCTCCAAGCCCAGAGTCCTCTTTGCCATCATCGCCAATTAGGTTTATTGAAGGCTGTTTAGAGGAGAGCCTCTGGTGAGTCTGAAGGTAAATAAAGCTGGGCACCCTGGTGACAGGCCTGGCCTATCTGTGGGGGTCCCTCCTACACGCTCTGTAGGGAACTGGCGTGAAGCTTGGCAGAAAAAATAGAGCTGGGATTTATGGGATTCCCTGGCTCTGTGGCATGGCCCAGTCCTCTGTGCTCCTTACTCGCTTCCTGGGGCCCAGAGCATGTAGGGGTCCTCCCCTGGCCCTACCTATTTCCTCTCTCTTCTCCCTTCTCCCTTGCTCCCTGTCCTTCCCTACCCCCAGCCCTGGCCTCTGCACCCCAGCTCACCCGGCACTGGTACCAGGCCTCTGCCTCAGCTTTGCTGCGGCTGGCAATGTCGTCATACTGGGCCTTGATCTCGGCCACGATGCCGTCCACGTCCAGATCCCGGCTGTTGTCCATCTTCACAATGACTGAGGTCTCGGAGATCTGAGACTGCAGCAGGAGGATCTCCTGGGGAGGGCCAAGGTGAAGGAGTGAGCTCTGAGAATCAGCAGCAGGAARGGGACAGCCTGCTCTGGCCTCTTGTGGGAGATTTGCACAGGTCTCTGCTGTAGCTGTTCCAGGACTTTAGCCATCAATATCCTCCTGGTCCCTGTCCTTTAGTGAGCCAGAACTTTCCCTGAGGATCCTGAGAGCCTGGGATCTGGATACTCCAATTTCTGAGAGTCTCACTCCCTGAGCTCCAGCTGTCCCTGGGGGATCTATCTGTTCCAGGCACCTGCTGGGCAGATGCCTTCTTAACCTCCTGGCCCCTGACCAGCCATCTAGAAGGCAGCATGGCTGCAGATACCTCCTCAAACAGGCCTTTCATGAAGTTGATCTCCTGTTCTAGAGCCTCCACATTGGTCTCCAGGTCAGCTTTCACCAGGAAGGCCGTGTCCACATCCTGCAGCAGAACAGTGACAGAATCATGACCTGGAGCTGGGGGTGTGCAGGGACCACACTCTCCACCAGCCAGGTACCAGCTGGTGGCAGGTGGCAGGTGTGGGGCCCACCTTTCCTCAAGGAGTCTGTGTGGAAGTGAAGGATGGAGCCAAGGTGGAAGGACGGGTCCCCGGCCCTGGGACCCCTGTGCCTGGACCTGACACCCTGATAGAGAAGGATCTGAGGGATGTAGGGGTTTAGAGGAGCGACCATGTTGGCCTACCATGTTCTCAGCTCTGATTGTAGAGCTCAGCCTAGAAATCCCCCACTGTCTGTCTAAGGAATCCTGGCAATCAGTTCCTCTTTGGGCGTCTGAGTCAGAGTTTTGATTTGTTTTTGGTTTGGCATAGCCACATCTTCGACTGCTTGGGCAGGTGCAGACATGACCCTACCTGGCTTTGGCCTACTGAGTTGGGAGTGGGGGACAAACCCACCCTCGCCCCTCTGCAAGGGGGATGGGAGAAGACTCTGACCTTCATCTTTTTCAGGGTCAAGGGGGTTGGCAAGGGAGGGTGGGAGGGACTCTTTGGATGGGATGGCTGTAGACAAGTTTGGACACAGTCCAGGGGCTGGGTATCTGAGGCTGGCCAGGCGGCTCGGTGGCCTCTGCCTCCCTGTGTAGCCCTCTCACCTTTTTCAGGGCAACAAACTCGTTCTCGGCGCCGGGGCGCAGGGAGAGCTCCTCTTCATACCTGATGGAGTGGGCGGGAGAGAGCCTTCAGTTGGCATGTGGAGTTTGGAAGGGGTCTTGGCATCAGGTATTTGGGGGCCACGGTCTGTCAGTGACTGACCACCCTAGGGAGCCTGTCTCTGGACACCACTAGATAATTATTACCAGAGCTTCTCACAGCTCCACTTCCCTGGAGCCTGCTTCTGTGGTGAGTCATCCTCTGGGAAGTCCTCTTTGAAGCTATCCTCATTTCTTGCTGCTGAGGAAGCTCCTTCATCTAGTTGATTTCTCTGGGAATCCTCTGCTGACCTGGCTGCTTTTCTTGACCTGAGACTGGCTGCTGTCTCTGAAATACCCGGCTGACCTGGGGCCTCCTCCTTGCTGGGAGGATGCTGAACCTGATTTCTGCTTGCAGTCTGGTGACAGAGGTAGCAATTACCCACTTCACCAGACCCACGGAGGCAGCCCGACTATTTCCTGCAAGCTGCCTGGGAGCTCCGCAGCCCACGCAGGGCTCCTCAGAGGGGATCATCAGGATTCAGCCTGGCCCTGGTGACTCAGCTTGGTGAGCAGCGTGGATCTATTAGAAGCGGCTCTGTGCTTCCTGATGYCCATTTCCCCATTTCCAGGAGAGCCCCTGCACAGGACTAGGGGACCTATCACCTGGGTTTGAATCCTGGTTCTGTCACATGCTAGTCATGGCCAAGATGGGTAAGTGACTTGGCCTTTCAGCTCCTCTCCTGTGGAAGGAGGGTAACTCTGGTCCTGCCACACAGGGCTGTTGAGGGTCAGTTGATGTCTACCACACACTAGGACAGTGCCCAGCCTGAGCCTGGGCTAAGTGTGGTGTCAATGATGAAATACCAGTGGCTTCTCCTCCTCTCCTTTTGGCCATTTTGAAAATCCCAAGTTCTCCTCTTGAACTGCAAATCATGTCTCCCAATGTAACCTTGCTACTGTCTTCTCAAGAAAGGCTTTGCTCCTTCTGCGGGGCCAGCCTCCACTTTCCCACAGCCTGTCACAGTCTGTTAGAAACGTTCCCCTTTCTTGGCACACTTTGGACCTTCCTTGTCTCCTGCTCCTATTTCTACCCGTTTCTGAGGTCTATTCTGGGCTCTCTTTTTGGAAGAAGCCATCAGAAGGGACATTATCCCTCAAGGCCCCAAGCAAATGGTGCCTCCTCCAGGAAGCCTTCCTGGCTCCTCCTGCTCACTCCCTTTCTTGGGATCTGTTCCCTTTTGGCTCTGTTCTGCATTGCAGCTGCTTGGGTATAGGTGCAGGTGGTCATTGTGTACTAAACTGGGCCATCTAGAGGGAAGAAGCCACCTTTTCCCTTTCTATAGCATCTCTGTTTCCCAGCACAGTGCCTGCCACTGAGAGAGCCCATGGTTGGCACCTATAGCATGAGTGTCCCYGACATGGCTCCCYTTCACTGGGTCCTATCTCTTAGGAACTGCTGCTCTTGGTATGTGTTTCTCCTCAATGAAAATGTATCTCTCCTGACTCTCTCACCAGCGGTGTTCCCATGAGGCCCTGCACCCGGAGCAGACTCACTCAGGACTCATCAGGAGGCAATTTATCTGGCCTCCGACTCTTGCAAGCACTGAGCTGCTTTCCTGCTGGTTCCCCATGAACATGTGCTCACCAGTCACCTCCTCCAGGCTGTGAATCAGACCCGAGGTGGGTACTTGGGGCAGGAGAGAATACACGAGCCCCAAAGCACTGAGAAAGAAGGAGTTCAAGCTCCTAATAGTGTGTGTGTTGTGCACGTGTGCACAAGTTTTCCAGATCAGTTCCAGCTGTGCTGGGGAGGGATGAGGAAGCCGGAAGTCAAGGGTGAGGGGACGTGTGGGATGGCTGGATGGCTGGGGGGCAATGCTGAGAGGGCTTATCAGGTGGAGGGAACAGCAGGTGCATAATCTTGGAGGGAGGAGCCTGCGGATCTGTTGGGGGACTAGGAAGAAGTTCTGAACCTACAAAGGAACTCATGAGGCAGAGCAGGTAGGTAGCTCAAAGTAGAGATGGGGACTCCTTCATGGTGGATGAAGCATGCTTAGGGAGAAAGAGCGTGAGGGCCTTCCTTATTTAGGCAGGGTGGTGGGAAGGGAGATGAAGACAAATGCACACATTCAGGGCTTCCACCACGCRCTACATACATGATCCTGTAGGATGCTCTGCCTATATTGTCCCACTTAATTACTGTTCCACCTAATGAGCTGTTTTCCCATTTTATGGGTGGGAAAACCGAGGCCCAGGTAGGTTTCTATAACTCATCCTAGATCCCCTCATGGGATGAAAGCTGAGCCAACTCACTTTTTCTTGTAGCCCTCCAGCGCTTCCTGGAGGCTGCAGAGTTCCGACTCCAGCCTCGTGTGGTCCCCTGACACGCAGTCCAGCTGCCTCCGCAGGGCGCAGATGTAGCCCTCAAAGAGGGGCTCCAGGTTGCTCTGGCAGCACCTCTGCTGCTGCATGAAGTTCCACTTGGTCTCCAGCAGCTTGTTCTTCTGCTCCAGGAACCGGACCTGCAGCCAAGAATGGGGTGTCACCAAGTAGGGGGGACCCTGGGAACCAGGCCTTGGAGAGGGTAGTGGAGTGGCTTTTGACCTTTCCCAACACACCAGTGACAAGGCACTGGGATTCGCAAAAGTTAAGGTCTCTGCATCTACTGGCACCTGAGGTGTCTTTGTGTCTCCTCGACTTTGGGGACAGTAGAGGATGCCTACCTTCCCTTCAGGAGTTGTATGTTTTAGCTGAAAGAATATCGCCCAAGAGGCCTGGGCAGGTCCGTAGTGCAGCCTTCTCCGCCTGCCTCTCACTACCCTGTAGCCTAGACCAAAACCTTTACCTCTTCAAGCTCCACTTTCCTTCCCAAAGCTCCTACTGGGACTGTGAATGGGAGAGCACCCTGCAAGCCTGCRTCCTAAGGTCCCGCTGTGACGCTTGGGAGGCCAGGCTTCTGGGCACTCGGGGAAGACCATCAGCTCAAGGGTGAGAGTTTTAGGACTCCAGCTCTTCCCACCCATCCTGTCCCATCCTACATGGCTGTGTAAGAAAGAAGTCCAGGTCACAGGAATAGGGACAGTTGCTGGCCCACCTCCCCCATTTTTGTGGACTGGAGCTGAGGTTAGAAGCAGCTGATCAGACCCTGGTCACCCGCTAGTCATGGGCACAGGGAGCATGGTCTCTGGGCCTTGCCCTGGGACTTATTCCCTTATGGTGCTTTGCCTCTCAAGAACATTGTAGAAGGGAAGTTGCCCCAATTCTGGCCAATGGCCACATCAGCAGGAGACTCCCGGCCTCACAGAAGGTTGATGACCAGGGCCCATGTTGTTGGATGAGTTTATAACCAGAACTTGAAAAAATTAAAAAAACTAAGTGTGGCTGAGCAAGTTTATTCCTGAAGCATCCCTGWGGTGTGGAGTGCTTCCTTTCATCCTCCCCCTCTCTTCCTCCTTCCCCCACGAGGCACCGGCATCCCTGAGGCTGAGCRGCAAGTGCCTTGCTCAGGGATCTGGGCCACAGGAGTGGAGTCAACTAGGGGCCAGGACTCCTGGCTTCTGTCCCACAAGCCTAGCCACCAGAAACACCARCTCAGCCTGTGGCATGGTCCGGACCCCAAGAGCCTCCCTGGACTGGGGATAGGCCCAGGGGCAGCTGAGGGATGACACCTGGTTCAGCAGCATTTAGAGGCAGTGTGTCCCCCTCCCTGCAGCCTTTCCGAGCTGGCTCTGGGCTTGACAAACATAAGACTTGGGTGATGGCCACCTTGTGCTCCCAGCTCTGACTGCTCTTCTATTCCCTCACCCCAAGCCTAAACCTAGGGCAAAAAAATGGGGGTCATAGTACCCATCCTCAACTTCAGAGTCTTCAAGAGCCTCAACACAGCTCAGGCACACAGAAGGCAGTTGGATTGTTAAAGCCTCATCAGGAAGGGCATTTCTTTGGTTATAACCTGCTCTGAAAGTTCCTCTTACAGTCTGACCTCAGGCAACCTTAGTGATTTTTTTCTGAGATAACATCCAGAGAGACATAACTAAAAAAATGGACTGGAAGCAGAAACATTCAGTGCTGATCCAAACACTTACAAAAATGAAGGCTGGAGAGGCCGATGGGCAAAGGACAGCTTGTGTATTGCCGGCCTTTTCCTTGTCCTTTGACTGGCCACCAGGTACACTCTGTAATGGGTCTCGTCCCCACTCCTGCACCTTGGGCCCACGGCTTACCTTGTTGATGAAGGATGCAAAGCGGTTGTTGAGACACTTGATCTGCTCCTTCTCATCCCTCTTCACCCTCTGCACGGTTGGGTCGATCTCCAGCTCCAGCGGGACCAGAAGGCTCTCATTGATGGTGACAGGGGTGATGCAGGCAGAAGACCCACAGGTGGCCCCTGCTCGATACCCAAAGCCAGGCAGGCTGCACCTGGAGGCCACCCGGGGCCTCCCGAAGCCCACATTGCACAGGCTCCGGGAGCCGAGGCAGCCTAGGGCGCGGAGGCCCCCACCAGCCCCAGACCGGCACGGGCCCTTGCTCACCTCATAGTGGGTGACCATTCGGGGCATGATGGCCGAGCATGAGCTGAAATTCTGAGTACCATACCTGGAGCCTGCCTGGAAAGAGCGGCACGACATGTCAGGAGAGAGAGGCAGAGAGACGGAGCCCTGGAGTGGAGAAGAGGGGGCAGGCGTGGCCAAGTCGCGGTTTGACTTCCCCCTTTTATCTCGTAGAGGGGTGGAGGGCTGAGCTGGGTCAAACCCCAAATCACCATTAAATCTGGTTTACAAGCTTGGGATATCGGCAGCCACTGGGGAGCAAGGCGGATAATTAGGGTAGCAGAAAGCCCAGAGAAGGAGCCAGAAGCCCATGCTGGTGGGGCCCATAAAAATCCAAGACTTCCTTGTTTATGGGGGCGATGAAAGGGACCATACAGACAGAGATGCCCGCCATAACCCGTGGAGCAGCCTCGAGGAGGGGTAGAGTGGGACTTTACATCATTTCACAGGAGGGAAGGGGAGGGACATGAAATACACATACCCAACTTCCCTGGGATGCAAGGGCAGATCAGACACATGGAGGGTGCTCTATTTGCCCAGGGCTGTCTCTGTCTTCCTATAGATCCTCCAACCCAAGTGCCCTCCGTGGGCTCTAGGTGATCCCAGGAGTTCCTAGGGAGGTAGACTTTTGGGCTGGAGGGAGCCTGGYTGGATCTTCCCCTTCTCAGGACAGGCAAGGCTCTGGTTCTGGTTCAGCGATCCAGGCCCCACCAGGGGTCTTGAGGGCGGAGGGCTCCAGGCATATACACTTCTCTCCAGGGGACCCATTTGCGCGTGCGCGCACACACACACACACACACACACACACACACACACACACAAATGCTGTATAGGAGACTCAAGAGGAGTCTGAGGATGGGAGAGGAAGGGATGCTTTCCCCCACACATGTGGGTCCCCCAGGACATGATGTTCATGGAGCTGGTCGGGGGATTCAGCATTGGTCTGGGCTTCTGTTTTGTGCTCTGGAGCCTCCCAGAGGTACATTCCAGCTTGAGGACCTCTCTTCAGACAGGGCCTGCTCTAAAGATTGTGCCAGGTGGATGTGGGTCAGGCTGTCTTCCCAGAACTAGGGCACAGACACAGTCTCTTGGAGAGGCCTCAGGCCCCTGCCCATTTTCTTTCCTCTTCTCTCATCCATCTCCACAGTGCAAACTCTGCTTGGTCTTGCCCTTCCATGCTGAGACTTTTTTCCAGGTCAAAATCAAGCCAGTGGTAATAATAGTGACATTGACTGAGGTTTACCATGTGTCGGGTCCCTCTGAACTCTTCCTATCCATTATCTCATTATCCCCCACAGCAACACTTTGCTGTAGCAACCATCTTACAGACAAGGAAAGTGAGGAGCAGAGTGAAGGGCTGTGTCCCCATCACTCAGCTTGTCAGTGATAAGGTTGGGATTGAGTCCTGTTCCTCCTAACCCCACCTTGCTCTGCTGCTCTGAAGGCCTGGGTTGGGGACGGGGAATCTGCACCCACATGCTTCACATTCTTTGCCTGTAGATTAGGAGCCTAGAACTTAAACATTTCAGCACCTTGAAAATTCTCAGTCTGACTGTGCCATTTCACACTGTTCCCTCTTCAGTAGTCTTGACTTGGGGCCTTGAAGTGAGGGGTGTCATGGGAGGCCTGGGGAATGGTGGGAGGTGGAGGGTGGTGTGAGGTGGAGACTCTCACTCTACCCTGGTGGGCCCAGGAGATGATGTTCATGGAGCTGGTGCTGCTGAGAGACTGGCCAAATGGTAGACTCACACTTTAGCGGGCAGGGACAGGGCTCACTAGGACCACATGGGTGCAGTGGAGCTCCCCCAGCCTATCCAGACACMATGGTAGTCTCAGTGACAGTGCTGGGCTCCCAGAAGCCCAGGACCAGAGCTCAGGGGCAGAGGGTAGGATGGTTCATGGCATTCACGGTGGGCAGAAGGCATGTACTCCCAGACCTCCTGATTCTGAGGCTGCCCTCCAGGTATAAGACAGGACACGACTCAGTCAAGACCTAGAGTGCTCAGTGACATTTTATTGAAGCAATTTCAGCAACTTGGCAAGCGAGAAAGGAGCAGGGAGTCAGAAGTTTTAACTTGTTTTCTGGAGCTGTGAATTGGGTCTGCATGGCRGCCGAGTGGCAGGCAACCCCCTTCCCTTTTGATCGGTTTTGGTTTTGAATTCATGGTGGGTGTTTGRGGGTTTACAACTCTTCAAAGGAAACAAGGAAATCACCCATGAAGGCCAACTCCAAAAAGAACTCAGTGCAGCCCCTCACCCTGTTCACCTGCCTCTTCCCTCTRTTCCCTTGGTGGGACTGGACTATCATGTCCCTTCAGAGGGAGGGGACACTCCAAAGCCAGGACTGCCTCTCCTCCAAGCTCACCACCTCAGTTCTTCCCCGYGGGGCAGAGAGTTTGAGGTGCTGCCTTAGAGAGCTCTGTTCTCATTGGGGCTGGGGACAGGAGAATCCTCATAGCTCGGAGACACTTCAGAGGCTGGGATGTGGGAAAAGAAAGGTTGGAAGAGCAAAAACAGAAAATATGTTGCAAAATGGGAAGAGTGGGAAGGACGAAAGGAGAGAAATAGAGAAGAGAGGCGAGGAGAGGAGAGGAAGGGTGGGCAACGGGGGAGAACACACAACGAGGGGCCCTGAGGATGACTAGGAAAAGCAGTGAGGGTGAATAAGGTCAAAAGGAAAGAGAAGCTTCCAGAAGAAATAGGTGGTTAGCACAAGGGAAAGGGGGAGAGGGCCGAGGCTGGAGCCTTGTTTTGCAGGAGGCCTCTCACAGGGCAGTTCTCTATACAGGCTAATTGGATTCCTTTTTCTGGTGTATCTTGTGCGGGCATTTTGGGCTGAGTGGCTGCCTCCTACCCCCTCATCACTGGGATCTTTCTGTTCCGAGTCAGCCATCTAATATCAGTTTCAATGAGGCAGATATGGAAGGAATGTGGCTATAAGCGCATGCAATGCAGCTGCAGGCCACAGAGAACTCGGGCTCTTGATAAATATTTTCCCATTCTAATATGAATAATCACAGTTGGTACTGTTTTGAGGGCTATTGATTCCTTGTTCAAATATTTTACTGCGGGGAGTTGCTGGTGGACTTGGCTGAGGGCCTGGACAGAGACAAAATAAAAGGAGGAGAGAAGGCAATATGTGTGACAGGTTTTGCAAAGATATTTCCTGGTCTGAGGGCCCAGCAGGAAAAGTGTCATCTTTAGGGAGAAACAACCTATGTAGAAAATTAGACCTAGACGGCCCTGGACTTCTTTAGGGTCCCTGGGTCAATTTTAAGGTTCCCATGAAGGACTGAGCAAGAGGAATCATCTTGGGATTGAAGTGGATCTGGGTCAGACAGAAGGAAGAGATCCTATGACATCTCCCAATTCTGGGAATTTCTTACGGGCAAAATCCTAGCCCAGGTGTTGGCCCAGAGCAGTTGAGTCAGTGTGGGCTGGAATGGACCCGGGAGGGCTCTGAGACCAGGATGGATGAGCTATCTCTTTGGGGCCTGTGACAAGTGATGGACAAGGTGACCTTTAAATTCATAGCCACTTGCCACTCCCCTGCCTGCTGCGGTGGATGTGAGCATGGGATGCGGGCAAAGCATCAGGCCTGAGGCTGGAAGCTTGGACCTTGGGGGTGGCTGCCCAGGACAGGTGGGCGCCTTAGCTCCTGTAACTCTTCTTGGTGGAGGACGACGTTTTGGAGATGATGCGCATGCTGGAACTGCTGCTGCTGCCACCACGGCTGCTGGTGGAGCTGAATCCGCTGCCCCCGCCGCTGCCACCGTAGCTGAGGCTGCTGCTGTAGCCGCCCCCACCCATGCACAGGCCGCTGCCCCCRCTGTAGCCTGAGCCTCCAGAGGAAGAGACCACAGCTGTGGAGGGAAGACAGGCACGTTAGCAGGTTCCTCTCTTTTCCCAAGATGCCCCTCTGGGGTGGGGTCTCATGCCCAGGCCTGTCCTCCCACAGCGTCTTGCTCCAGGCAACACTCTCCCCCCAGGGAGCCTTGGGAACAGTGGTCAGGCTGAGGCAGGGTGGGCATGGGCCCATGATACCACAGTTTTTAAAGCCCTTTCACAGCTATGACCACACTGATCTCAGTGAGGCCTGAGAGGGCATCATTACAGTGACCCCCTTTTAAAAAGAAAAGATGAGATGCAAAGAGATCAAATGCCTTGGCCAAGGTCATGCCTGCCAGAATGAAGACTTCAGGCTCCTGTGCTGTGTTGGTTCCTCTTCTCTACCAAGAGGCTGTCATGTGGGGTGCAACATGAGGCCTCGGGTTTAGGGAGAGGACCGCAGACTGCCATGCTGCAGAACAGACCACCTGATGAACCCTTCTGGAATTGGAGTCCCCTTGACTACATCACTGAGAGGCAACACGTTTGTGCCTATGCTATGTGTTCAAGGATGAGGAGCTCCCTCTTGACGGGGGCAGCCTCTTGACTTTATCCAACATGAGAAGGCTTTGCTCCAACCCTCACTTTCAGAGTTGGCTTCTCCCCATGAAGATCCTATGGCACCCCCATTCTGGAAATTCCTTAAGGGAAAAATCCTAGCCCAGGTCTTGGCCCAGAGCAGTTGAGTCAGTGTGGGCTGGAATGGACCCTGGAGGGCTCTGAGACTCGGATGGATGGGCTATCTCTGCGGATTCTGTCTGGAGGAGAGGGATGGCCAAGGTGACTGACTCCAGTTGGTGGCAGGCTCTCTTCCAGGCTCCCAGGTGTTCTGATTCAGGGACGCCCAAGGGGCTTTGATTTCCATGACCAGGACTCAGGGCTCCTGTGGCATCACACAGGATGCCCATCTTTTCCTGGGTGGGGGATGTGGCTCTGTGACATGATTCCTCCTGGTCTCCTTCCTGGGAGTCCAGGCCAAGCCAGGCCAGTGACTGTTCTACTTGTTCAGTTAAAGTGCTTAAATCTAAATAAAAGTCTTTTCCTTGAACCTGCTTCACAGCTTCTTATTATGTTAGTTTCTGAATCTCAGAGAAATCAGGCGATTGAACTGGGGACCCATCGCTGCTTGAGCAGTCCTGTCCCATAATGGGATCCTCAGGGGCCAGGCTGGTGTCACACTCCTGAGGACATGTGACCCCACTGCAGCCAGCTTAGGGGGCGAGGGGTCACCTGGGGGAGATTATCCCAGAGTGAGGAGAAAGTCTCTGAGCTCTACTCAAATTCCTTCCTTAGGGATATGSAATGTCCCAGTGCTGAGTTCTCTTGAACCCACTGGGAGGAGAGGGGTCTCCACAGAGCCCCAAAGAGGGTCTTAATGCCCCAGGGTGTTCATTTTCTAGCCACAAAATCCTAATTAGTGATGCTGTTAGCACCCATTTTGCACCCCCAATTTCTTTCATCCCAAGACAGTTACTCACAGATGTTCACAGATCCAACGCCTTCTCCAGTGAGTCTGTGGYAGGTGGAGAGAGAAAGGGACATTTCATTGCTGAGAAGTTAGAGAGTCCTGGGTTCCACTTATCTCCTAAGCTTTTGGAAAAAGCTTAAAGAAAATAGTGAGGGGACATTTGGGGGGGGGGGAGGGACTCATGCCAAAGGTGGACCAGGATTATAGGGCATCTCTGGGAAGACATGAGGCCTCTGAGGCTGGTCGTGAGTGTGGCTAAGTTTGCTATAGGCCGTGCATGGAGATGGCCTGCTTAGGGGTTCCACAGGGTCATGATCACTCCTCTTTCTGATACTTTTGGCCCTGACTGCTGCCCTGGGTCCAGCAGGAATGGTGACAGTGGCTGCAGCTACAGGATGTCTCTAAAGGAGCAGTGGCATGGAATTTCTCTGTGGGGGGCTGACACTGTGGAGCTCATGCAGCTTCTGTAGCATAATGACATGCTCTGGTGGCATCTGCTTTGGCCATGGTGGGAGCAGAAGTTGACCCACCTGCACTCCTCGCCCTCCAGCAGCTTGCGGTAGGTGGCAATCTCAATGTCTAAAGCCAGCTTGACGTTCATCAGCTCTTGGTATTCTCGGAGCTGCCGMGCCATGTCCTGCTTGGCCTTCTGCAGAGCATCCTCCAGCTCTGCCAGCTTGTTCTTGGCATCCTTGAGGGCCAGCTCCCCGCGCTGCTCCGCATCAGCAATGGCRGCCTGGAGTGTGGCACACTGCCAGCGGGAGATGGGAGATCGTGACACCATTCACAGAGAATGTATTAAGAAGTGGACTTTATGATAAAAAACATGGAAGGATTCCCTGAAATGGATTTAAGGTAAAGCAGGCTGGAGCTGGAGAGYTCTCTGTCCTCCTCGGATAATTAGAACMGCATCAGGATGGAGAAAATGGTTTTCTGAGGCCCTTTTCAATGCCACACTTCCCTGGCAGAGGGTAAGTAATGCAAACCAAGGTGTGGCCATTTGAGCCTCCACAGGAAAGGACAGGTCCTAGTGGATACATTTTTATATATCTGGAGACCACAGGTCCAGGAAGCTTTTCTCTGCATGAGTTGAGTTAGGCCCAGGTCCAGCTCTTCCCAAAGGCAAGGGCATGGATGGGATGACCTTTGGGAGCTAAGACTGACCTGTTTCTTCAGGTTATCAATCTCCGAGCGCAGTCTCTGCATGGCCCGGTTTAGCTCGGAGATCTCCATCTTGGTGGTGCGGAGGTCATCCCCATGCCGGCCGGCGGACCGCTGCAGCTCCTCATACTAGAAGAAAACAGAAACAGGCCTTGAGTAATGGAGGAGAGCAGGTGGTGGCTCCCAAGCTCCACAGGCTTCCTTTGTCCTGATTGGAGACTCCTGGCTTTGCCTGCATCCTGCCCCATCATAGCCCCTCACTCTCCGTGTCCACAGGCTTCACCCCACAGCTGACCCATGGCCAGGCTCTTCCTTCTCCCTCCACTCCAAGCACCGTATCCTCCCCCACACAGCATCACACTGGGTGCCCAGACCTTTCTGTTTCCATAGCTCYTCCATAGTTGTTTGTCCGGACACCACATCTCATCCTTCAAGATCCCCCAGCAGAGTGTCTACTCCACCCTGAAGAATCTTATTCTGTGACCTCTCAGTGTTGCCACCCCAGCCAGTTCCACCTCTCTTCTCTGGATGCTCTAGCTTCTACCAGGAGGTGTTAGACCTTCATCATGGCCATGTCCCCTCCTCATCCTCCTGTTGGCATTATGTCTGAAACTGACCAGTTCTACCTGTTCTCTGATACAGGGCATTGAAAGTGTGTGTCCATCTGTCCTAGCAGAGGGWCTGATCATTTTCTGCCTACATCTGGCTATTCCCCAGCTCCTGATGGTGCTAGATTAGAGGGTGAGTCTCGAGCTGAACTCAGATGCCTTTGACCCAGGCTGGAACATCTGAGAAGACAAGGCTCTCATCTTATTTGTGTTTGAAACCTTGGCTCTTGGTGCTTGTTTAATGGATTTTCTCTTGATAGCTCACCTTGGTCTGGTACCAGGACTCCGCTTCTGCCCGACTGCGATTGGCAATGTCCTCATACTGCGCCTTGACCTCGGCGATGATGCTGTCCAAGTCCAGGCTGCGGTTGTTGTCCATGGACAAGACCACAGAGGTCTCAGAGATCTGAGCCTGAAGCTGGGCCAGCTCCTGTGATTGGGCCCAAAGGAGAGAGCTGAGGCGGGGCATTCATGTGCCTGTTTGTGTTGGAAGACAGACCCTGGCAGAGAGRGTCTTGTATTTTTGGGTCATGCTCCCTGATTATCTCTAGAAGSCTTCAAAACTCGGGAGGGACATTAGGAAGTTTACAGCTGCTCTTTAYCATCGGCTCATCTGGCCTGGGGAGCAGCAGCACAGGTAACCCTAGCCCAAATTCTCCAGAAACCACTCCCATTGCGGGATGGCGGGGGGTGGGGGGAGCACACCTTGTTATGACTGTTAATGTTCTGAGAAAGCACAGCCCTTCGTACCACRTAAAGAAATCAACTTGGGAAAGAAAACTGAGTCAGAAGGAGCCAGACAACTCGGCTATGTCCTCATTCTGTTTCCCAATTTTGCTCCTCAGGACTGGGAAATGGAAATGAGCTTGGATTAGCAGAAAGCACATGGRGCTGAGAAATCCAAGTCTGGCTCTGCAGAGCAAGTTTGGAGAGCATCTCTGGGTTTCAGAGAGGCTCATTGCAATACTGCCTTGCAAGACTTCCRTGAGGGCTCAGTAGTAACGCATAAAAGATATTTTTTGAACAGTAAGCCCACAATTAATTTGATTTGATCTATTTTCAGAATTGACCAAGGCAGTGGATTTTCTCACTTCAGATGGACAGTATCAGCCCACCCACCTGGGAGCAGGATAGGAATGCCACATTCAGCTCCCCAGACATCCTCAGTCCAAGCTGGTATGTTAATAAGACTCCAGAAGATTCTGATGCTTTGGAATCTGAGAATTGCTGGTCCAAAGCATAAAACAAAGCAAAAATACCCCTCTATCCTCTTTAGTACCAGCTGCTTCATACATTTTCTGTTTCAGCAAAGGGCTATTTTGTTCTTAAGCTGTAGTTTGGTTTTTCCATACAGTTTCTCCTGCTCCCTGACCTCACTGTGGGCGGGATGGGGGTGAGGTTCAGCCCATGGGCCTGCTGGGCAAGGGGCCCCCTCAGATTTAGGAGCCAGCACCACRCTGGTTGCCATAATGAAGAGAATAAGCAAAGGATAGCTTTTTGTCTCATGCGAGCTGTGAGATGGTCACTGGAGGCACCTGGTCTTAGAGCTGAATGTTCTGGTCTTGAAACAACATGGCAGGCTGCTGGTGGGCGCCAAACATAGGTGACCCTATAGATGTCAACTGCCCTACCTGGAGACTTACCTGGGGTACACAATCCACCTCCTCTMCCCACCTTGACACTGYTGTCCCACCTCCTCACTCTGCTCTAGCYATGCTGTTCTTCCAGATCCCTGTGGCTGAGACACAATCCACCTCCCCTTGTCTTTCTGGCTCATATCTTCTCTTCCTTCAGACTTATTAAATGTCACTTGCTCCTTGCCTTCCATGGCTGCCTCTTGCCAATTTTCTTCTTTGCCCCCATTATGTCTGAAATGGTAGTTATTTGATTATCTCACCATTGCCTGACTCCCTAACTATAAGACCTAAGAATCTAGGGGTTCCATTGGGTTTTCTCAGTACCATCCTARTGGTAAGTGTCTGAGAAGAGTATCCTTGAATAGAGGTGCTCAACAAAATCATGTCTTCAGGAGAAGCAGGCAATTGTGTTGCACCAGAAGCACCTGCAGGCTTGCTAATTGCTGCTTGAGTTGCGTAATTGCATCATTTTGCAGTAATAGCTCTAGGTAGAGCAGCAGATAGGGTTGGGCTGGGCTGAGCTGGGCTGGGCTGGGAGAGCCAGGTTGCTAGATGCTTCTGTGAAATGCTCAGCCATTTCAATCGCAGGAAGTCCATTCTTTTGTTTGCCCAATGGAACATGGTTGGTTCAAGTGGTTGAGGCTAAATTTTCCACCTCTCCCTACCTTCTAGCTGCTCTAARGAAACTTGTTTTCTCCCTTGTATGGGAACTTGCATCTGCCTCATGAATTACACCCACAGATGGAGAGAGGGACTGTAGCAGAAGGYCAGGGAAGAAATCAGCAGCCCCTGTCCCAGCCACCAGCCCTTCCAGAGGTTGGGGGAACACTGGGCCCTCTTACCGCCTCATAGAAYGCCCTCAGGAAGTTGATCTCATCCATCAGGGCATCCACCTTGGCCTCCAGCTCCACCTTGTTCATGTAGGCAGCGTCCACATCCTRGGCACAGAACATGCTATCACMTTGGGCCCACTCTTGGGCYCAGCTAGCTGCCTCTGGCCATGAGCTAGAGGGGTAGCTTCAGCTCCTGAGGGGGAACCTGTCTCTTCCCAGCTGTGGAGTGGARGTTGGAGGAGGGGGAAGATCCATACCATAGGAGGAACAGAGTCCTCAGGGATTCTTYCTGATTGTTAGCAGGTACCATGTGAAAGGTCTTCTATGGCACTCACATGGTGAAGAGACCCCATCCTGGGACCTTGGGCTCCCACTGCCTCTGGGTTCTCCAAGCCTTCCCCCAAAGCCCACTTGGCTTCCCACCTTTATAGCTGCAGCTCTGTTCCCCCTCCAACTCAGCCCCTGGAAGTTTCTCTTCTCCCTTTGATAGTCCCATCAAGCAGAAAGTTCCAGACCTCTGTGATCTGACCCCTGTACTGCCCCTGTCTCCCAGCCTGGCTCTCTGTCCCCTCACCTTCTTGAGCACCACAAACTCATTCTCCGCTGCTGTTCGCCTGTTGATTTCCTCTTCATACCTGTGGGAAGAGTAGAGAAGGAGTGGGAGTGGAGGAGGGCTCTGGAGATAGGTCATTGGAAAATATCCTACTCTAGCATAGCTCTCCAGGACACATATACCCCTAAGTCGCCAAACACTGCCCCAGTCACAATAAAGCCCAAATGCAAAATGAGAATAGAATAAAACCACCCCTCATTCCACAGCTCATCTCCTTAGAATACTTGGGGTCCCCGGATGAAGCAGACATGCTTCCTTATTTTATCTTATTTTCTAATGGGATCACCCCAACACAAACAGAGGTAGTGAGAGGAAGAATGGAGAGAGCAGTAAAGAGGCTCCTGGGATCTGACCTGGCTCCTGTATCCCACTATACTGTCCTGTCCCCTCTGGGATCCCCAACATGGGATCTGTTGAAGAGCATGTTCCTGGTTAATAGCTAGGCAGTGTTCCTGTGGGATCCAGGTGGCCTGTGCAGYAGAGGGACTATGCCTGGACACCCCTCAGGTGTCCTCAGCCACCTGAACCACACCTAAGGAGCAAAGTCCATTCCGCTTGTTGTCTTATTCTTGGGTTTTCCCCTAGGCAGCAACACACCCCCTCCTGCTCAATGGGGCTATGGAGATACTTTCCTGCTCACCCTTCTYGGAGAAGGGAGCCTCACTTCTACCCCAGGTGACCCACTCCCCACCTGAGCCTCCGAAGCATCAGTTGCATTATGCAGCTGGGGTTCAGCCCTTGGCTGTCCCGCCTGCCACTGAGTCACCCTGGGCAACTTCACTGGCTAGATCCTAACCTCTCTGAGTTCTTTCCCGTCTATGGAATGGCAAGTCTTTAATCCTTGACAACTACCAAGTCTGAACACATACAGGTGTGTTACTAGAATTTCACTGCCGCRTAGGACCTGAGCACCACACACAATCCTGCCACTGAGACTTCAGTGCTGTGCCTTCTTCCACKTGCTCTGGGAAAACCAATTTGGTGCTCCTTATTGTTGCCTTMAATTGCCTTTTTATGAAATCTGAACATTTTTTCTTCACSTGACTCCATGCCACTGTCCTTGTCTTGGATGTCTCCCAGCTCATAGTCCCTCTGCTGCACAGGACACCTGGATCCCACAGGAACACTGCCTGGCTATTAACCAGGAACATGCTCTTCAACAGATCCCACGTCCCTCCCCCTGTGCTTTCTGCTTTAGCCTCCTCTTCCTCCAGAAAGCCTTCTCAGATTAAAACCCTGTTACCCCATGTTTGTACGTGCATTATAAATTACCCATCTGCACCTGCTTCTCTAACCTTGGTCTGTATTACCACACACAGATGCCTAGTCATAAGGACAATCAAAATAGATAACATTTAAGGACTTACTATGTCAAGCACTGGGTGCCCTACCAAGCACTTTCCATGCAAGTTTTGATTTAATGTTCTCAACTCCCTTATAAGTGGAGCACTATTGTCACCYCTATAACAGATGAACTGGGGTTTGGAGAAGTTAGACAGTTTTCTTGAGATCATTCAGCTAGAGAGTGYCATTGACTAGGTTCTATAGCACTGTCGGATAGAACTTTTGCAATGATAGAATGCTATGTATCTTTGTTCGTTACAGGAACCATTAACATGTGTGATTGAGCACTGAAAATGCAGCTAGTGTGACTGAGGAATGGGATTTAAAATTTTATTTAATAAATTTAAATGTGACAAGGGAAGTTTCAGAAAGACTCTTATCCAGACAATAAGAAGATTAACAGCATTGATTAAAAAAACAAAATAAGAGCAGGAGAGGGGAGAAACCAAGACTTTGAATTTTTGAAGTTCAAGTTTCTAACCCTATAATAGCTGTTTTGTGTTTTTGTTTAGTCTGGCACATGRACTTGATCTTTTGACAAATGAACTATGTCATATTAAATTCAGTCAATATGTGTCCACCACTGATCAGTTTTCTTGAGGTATAATTGATCAATAAAATTGCATAAACTTAAAAAAATAGTTACATGTGGATAGTGGCTACCATGTTGGTTAGGTTTTAGCAGGATTCTGTTTTAGAGTCCTGAACTCTCACTTCTACAAACAGTAACCAAAACTCATTATCAAGTTACTAATTTTGGTTGGGCTAAGATAATTGGAAATCAATTAGAACAAGAAAAATAAAAAGCAAAAATAAGAAACTCATGTTTATGGGCATGAGCATACCATGACCCTTAATGGTGTGTGTGTGTGTGTGTGTGTGTGTGTGTGTGTGTGTGTATGTGTGTGTGTGCGCGAGCGTGCACACGTGTGTGCTTGAGCATGCATGTGTGCAGATAGTCCTGAGGGAAGTCTGCAAATAGGCTTTCTTCTCTGTTCCTCCAGCTTCTTGGCCAGGGCCATAATGCATAAAGACTGTCAAAGAGCCCTGGGATTTGGTTGAATAAATGTGCCAGTGAGATTCTCTGGGTTTAACTCTTACCTCATGAGTTGCCACCTCAGAGCCTGACTTTCTTCATCTCCAGAGTTGTGTTTACCTAGCCCTTCGTACCCATGTCACTCACTGTCATCTGTAATTCTAGCTCCTCCCTAAGACCKCGACATTCTTGACCACCGGGTCCCAGTTCTCATTCTACTTTTGTGTCTATTTCTATTTCACCCCGTGCCCCAGCTGTGCACCTCATTTCCCACTGGACTGGGCATCTCTGAAGAGCAGAGCCTATTTCTCTGCTGTCCCTKRTYTCTGCCAGAGCYCTAGGGCAGGACTCTGGYCCAGGAGCCGGMTGAGCCTCTACTCACTTGTTCTTGAAGTCCTCCACCACGTCCTGCATGTTCTTCAGCTCCATCTCCAGCCTCCCCCGCTCTCCTCCCAGGCAGTCCAGCTGCCGCCTCAGGTTGTTGATGTAGGCTTCAAACATGGGTTCAATATTGGCTCTGGTGGTTTTATGGTCTTGCAGGAGGCTCCATTTCGTTTCCAGGACTTTGTTCTGCTGCTCCAGGAACCGCACCTGCCCAAGCCAGAGGTAAGAGACCATGAGGGCTTCTGTGCAGTAGCTTCCCAGAATGCTCTGGGATATAGGACCCCCAACAGTTCAGGAGGTCTCTGCAGGACTCAGAATCCAGGTGGCATTCTCCTTTTCTTCCCCATTGCCTGCAACGATCCTGAAGTTTAGAGATTTTGTTGCAGAGGGCTTAGGGGACAGGTGGTAGTTTGATTTGAAGGGGGACAAAGTAGGGAAGTAGGTGCAGGAAGCCATCTGAACACACCAAACCATACTGATGTGTGCTAGCGTAAGAAAAGAACCCTCGGTCACCATGTCACTGGTGAGATTTTTATTTCTATTACATGAGTAGAGGGTTTATGGCAGAAAATTCCATCTGTCCATTTTCTGGGAAAGGATTTCTCAGGATCTAGAGTGTAGGCTACTAAGCCTGCACACTCCAGAAATTCTGAGTAGGGGGTCACTCATGAGTTGTGTTCGGGGGACCTGGGCACAATTCCAGTTGAGTCCCTCACTAGCCATGTGGCCTTAGAMAAGCCCCTTTCTCTCTTTGCTTTCTTGAGTTCTTTGAGGTTTTGTGCCGTTAATTTGAGTTTCTTGAATTAGCCTGGGAGGCATTACCCTTCCCCTTCACCAAAGCCTTTCCACTGAAAGGAACCAAAATGAATAAAGGAACAGTTTCTCCAAACCTTTGGAGATGGCAGTGTCCTTATAGAGAGTTATTAACAAATGCATCCTTTCTAGCTTCTCCTGTTGTTGGGGGAAGGAGAACATCCTATCTCTAAGCCCCTCCCTAGTYCCAGACTCTCATTTCCCTCATCCTCTCCAGATGAACCTGGGAAAAGCAAGGCCCAGGATCTTCTCTTCATAGCCGGCTCCTGAAAATCTTCCCTCTGTTAGTACAACCCAGGCTAGGTGGGGTGACATGGTGACAAAGCTAAAGGACCAGTGCCTTGGCAGTGCTCTTGGTGAGGTCTGTGTGCTCAGTGGTCTTGTCCATACCAGGAGGCACTCATAGTTTGTCAGACCTACAAAGGGACCTTAGAATCCATCTGTCCAACCCAACTCACGCCTGAGAAATTGGCGACTCTTGCAGCAGTAGAACCAAATTGGAACCTGGCAGGTTGCCTCTTAGCTCAGMATTCTTTCTTCCAGATTCCAGATATGGAGTCTGAGAGATCAAGATCCTTGAACTGGTTCTTCCCAGGCAAAACCAACCCATTCAGGTGCAATGGTGATGCAGGGGCTCTTTCCCAGAGTTGGGAAGTCCCTAGAATCCCAGAGTGGGATTCAGGCTGAAGTCACAAGTTTCCTTTTTACCAAAGGACGTATGCTAAATGCTCTGAGTGCCCCCTCACTGCCCACTTAGCTTCCCAGGCATCAGTGTCACCAGGTAGATGCCTACTGCCATGGGAACACATGAGTGCTGACTCAGCTGGGTAAGAAAAAGGGACCCAGTTCACTTCCATGAACTTGTAAACTTGAGCTCCTTCCCTCAAAATGCATTCCCCTTGTGCTCATTTTAAGCCAAATACACGAGAAGAGCAATGTCCTCATAGTGGGTCAGRGTGCTCTTGGGTCTGAAGAGGGAAATTTTTTTGGTCTCAGCTCAGCAAAGTGGGAGACCACTCTCCCTCTCCCCACCAGCAGGCTGCTTAGTCCCTAGGACTGCAGGTCCTGGGAAGTCATAATAGACTTCAGAAAAACACCAGAAGGCTAAGATCCCCCGGCTTCRGTGCTTTCCAGGTGGGGACCCATGTGTTTCTCACCTTGTCGATGAAGGAGGCGAACTTGTTGTTGAGGGTCTTGATCTGCTCACGCTCCTCCTTGCGCACCCGCTGGAGAGAGGGATCGATCTCCAGGTTCAGGGGTGTCAGGAGACTCTGGTTGACTGTGACCTCCTGGATGCCCCCAGCTCCAGCCATCATCCCACCTCCCATTCCRTACCCACCGAAGCCTCCCCCCATTCTGTACCCTAGGCCACCGACACCCAGCCCACAGCTAGCACCCCCAAAGCTGCTGCGGCTGGAGCGGTAGCCCCCGCTGATGGAGATTCTCTTGCTTCCTCCCAAGCTGTGGAGGCTCCTCGTCCCGAAGCCACCCCCAAAGCCGCCCCCAAAGCTCTTTCCACTCTGGGACATGGAGACAGARCTGAAGCTGGGCCGGCAGCTCGCCGGGAGGAGGCTGGCTGAGGAGGCACTGAAGTTCCGCGTGCCCCCCGATTTGATGGTGATGGAAGATCGTTGGGTCATGGTGGGAGCTAATGCCAGAGGGCGAAGGAGCAGAAATGAATGAGGAGCATCCAAAGTCTGGCTCTCTAAGACTCTCTTTGACTTATATCCCTTTCAAGAACTGGGCTTGGCCAGAGGAGATCAAAGACCACTCTGTTGAGTTCACCCCAATGGCATGTCTGGCCACAGCCCATTTAACTGCCCCACTAATCACCATGGGGAACACCCTACTCAGGGCAGGACCAGGCCTGGGGATTCCGGCCTGTGGCAGGCCTGGGTTCCGAGCCCCCCAGCCAACCCCATTCCAGCCACAGGCCATAGACACTCCCCTTGCTTCTCATCTGCAGCTCCAGCCTCCGTTTCCAGATCTCAGGTTCTGAATCCAAGAACCTGACTATGCCCATCCCATCCTGGTCACTTAATAATAAAAAAAAATTCTGTTTACTGAGGATGCAGTCTGTGCCGGACCAAGAGGCAGATCTGCCAGGAGCGTCATTTCCTTTGATTCTCCTAACTCCGTGAGGGTAGATGGTGAAGATGACAGCCCACGCTTTTCAGCAGCTTCTGCGGGTGGCTGCYTTACACCTGTGCTCTTGTTTAGCCTTGGACATCACTATGGAGTAGCTATTTTTATTCTTGAAGCAATAGAAGCTGAGTAATGAGGCAGGTTGGCAGAGGCTTGTGAACCTTCGGGCCAATATTAGAACTTGRTGGTCTGACCAGGTTACGTGCCTGGAATCATTGTGACTTTCCCAGCAGGGGAGTCAGGCCCAGGGACAAGAGGAGGCTTCACTTAAAATTTCTATCCCTCTACTGGTCCCTTCCCTGGTCTTAACTTGCCCTTCCCTGGGGACTGGAGGACCAAGTTGTTCTCAGTGTTTCTCCCCTTCCTTTCATCTTCATCCTCCCAACATTTTTCAGACTTGTCTCTCTTTTGATGCATGACTGCTCCCTCCCCTGTCCTTTAATGTCCTGCTTTTCGCCTGCACAAGTGTTTCCACTTCCCTGGTTTGTTCCTCTCATCATTTCCTCTCTTGGTCCTGAGCATTGAGCCCAACCCCTCCAAACCCACCTTAGCCTCACTCTGGGTGAGCCCACCAGGACACCCCAGGCTCAGGCCTGATGGGAGGGGACCAGGGAACTCATAAAATCAGGAATGTGGAACCTTCCTGGATGTCTCACTGCTGCCTGCAATTATGGTCTAAATGGCTCCTCTGCTTGGCCCCAGGGCTGACTTTTAACTCCTCTCTGTGGCCTGTTATTTCTCTGCTCAGGTCTGCAAGTTTGAAGCTGTCAGGGAACAATCGACTCCTTTGCTGGCAGAAGGCTGGGCYGCCCACCCTACGTCAGTGTCCCAGGAACAGTCCAGTTTGGGCAGGGGACGGCATCGCCCTGTATGACATACTGAAAGGGAAGCTGGGCAGGGCCTCTGCCCAGGGGCTTGGGCTTTCCAAACAAGGTATCCCAAAGAGAGGTAAGAGGAAGTGGGAGAAGCCAGGGGTGGAAGACTGGTGGTCTCCTGACCTCCCCATACCTCTCTCTTGGCTTCGAAGGAATGGGGCGAGGGCTGATGTGCTGGGAGCCTGCTTGTGAGGAGTTCTGCGCTGGGACAGCCTTGGAAGGAGGAGGATTGTTCTGTGTCCATAAGCTTTGCAAACAGAGGGCCTGACGCCAACACATTACACATGCATTTAATAGACACATTCCGGGGAGGGAACAGAGGAGCACTCAGACCAGCAGGCAGTTTATAAGCACCCTGAGACAGACTGGGACAGGCTGGCATTGAAACAGCCTCGGAGACACAGGCTCCCCATCACTGCAACTGGAGGGAGGGAGGGAGCAAGGGGGAGCCGAAGGGGTGTTTGCAGACTGCCGAGGCCTTGCAAGATAGGCTTCTTGCGAACTTTGGAAGAAAGAGGGCTTTGGTTTTTGCATGGCTAGCACAAAACAGGTGCCAGGAGGAGTCTGGAGACTGCCTTTGGCCAGGGAGTGGGGTTCAGCCAGGTCTCCAGGCTTCCCAGCAGCATAGGTGGGCCTCGTGGAAGGGAGACAAGAGGAAGGACCTGGATGTCCAGGTTTAGGTATGAGTGAAACAGGCTTCAGGGTGGGGTGAGGGTGCTGAGGGGCTGTGCTCAGTGCTTGTAGCTCTTCCTGCTGGAGGATGTGGTGGAGACAAACTTGACRCTAGAGCCACTGCCCCCCAGGCCTCGGTTGCTACTGGCAGTGAATCCTGAACCCCCTAGGCCGTGCCCGCCGCTGGTGGTGAAGGAGTAGCTGCTGCCCGCACCGAGACCCAGACTTCCACCTCCAAGGCTGCTACCACCGCCATGGCCACTGGAAACGGTGGAGGTGACTACAGCTGCCGGGAGAGAGGAGACATGATGAGAATCAAGCACAGGAGGGAAGACACCAGGGCTGCCAGGGTCTGTGTCCTGAGGAGGTCCTRGGGGTGGGTCTGGGGTGTTCTCTCAGGCAACAGTTTTTCCTTGCAGTCTCCCCACCTGCTTAGTGAGATTCTGTCCTCTGCTGCAGCCTGCCTTTCCCGAGCTGTAGTGTTGGGTATTCTCCTAGGTTAGAATGGCTTGCTGCCTCTCTTCTGTTACTTGGTACCTCCCTTCTCCTTCTAGAACCTATTGGAGACTACCCCTCTCTAGGAAGCTGTTTCCCTGTGACTCCACCACCATCTCCCTGCTGCTCCATCTGATACTAGGTCCCTCTCTGGACCTGGCTCTGAGTCTCCCTTCCTTCTGGCAAGTTCTAGGGGGCAATCCTGCTGCTTCTCATTTGCTGTCCCAAGCCTTGGCCTTCTGAATCCCAGAGAGGGGCTAGAATATTCTTGAAACACCAAAGATGAACGTGTTGTTCAGTTGACTCTGCCTCTTTTCTCCGACCAACCTGGTATTCTCCTAACTCATTGCCTTAGACATTCGAATACCCTGGTTTCGGTCTTACCGAAGAAAAACTGAAATGAAAAATGAACTCTTAGCAGATGAACCATCCTTCCAAAAACTCTGTTAAAACCCTAACTCCAACCACCTGAGAATATGGCCCATTTGGAAATAGGATCTTTGTGGATGTAATCAAGTTAAGACAAGTCTTTAGGGTGGGCCCTGATCCAGTGTGACTGGTCCTGATTAGAAGAAGGAAGACAACTGAAGACAGTGCACGGGGACAAAGCCACATGATCACAGAGGCAGAGACTAGAGTTAGGCAGCTATAAGCCAAGGACAACTGAGGATTGATGGCTGCCACAAAAAAACTAGGAAGAGTCAGGGATGGATTCTCCTCTACAAGTTTCAGAGGGAGCACAGCCCAGCTGACACCCCAATGGTGGACTTCTATAGGACTATGAAAATATGCTTCTATTGTTGTAGGCCAGCCCGCTTGTTGCAGCAGCCCTAGGAAACTAATGCAGACTCACAGGTATATTTCAAGAGAAAGGAACCTCAATGTTTTGCCATTTGTTCCCCAAATTAGCTTCAAGGGTATCTGGAACCACTAGACGAGGCATTAGGGAAGGCGGACGCTGGGGTGGTTCAGAGGGCTCTGGCTTCTAGGATCACTGGTTTGTATAGTCAGTTGCTTTTATGAATCCTTCATCAAGAAAACCAAACTCACTTGTAGAGTGTGAGTTGCCAAAGTTATTTCTGTTGGCCTCCCGATGCCAGCACTGAGCTCTGTGAGAGACAAYTTCTGCTCTTATGGCACGCTGGGAACACCTCTCCTGCATTGGGGCCGCTATACCCAACTTCCATGTCCCATGATGCCCTGGCTGCCTGGAAACCCCTGGAAATTTCCTGTGGTTGGGCTCTGCAAGGTGGAGCCACGCACTGAATTCTTCCCAAACTGTTTGGAGGCAGGGTCCCCTGATGGGCCAGGCCCTGGTGTCTAGCATGAAGGCTGCCTCCAGAGACCCAAGGCAAACCAGTGATTTTCCTAGGTTCTGTCTACATCAGACACTCATCTTGGAGGTCTGAGCTAGACTTGTAGCCCCCAGTCTCAGGTGTGGAATTCTGGGAGATGAGAGAGATGGCAGAGGTTTTCTAAACCCATGTGGAACAATTACAGCAACCCCCCTCCCCAGTCTTCTTTCTGTGGCTCTGTCATTCATAAAGAGGTAAGAAATGTCATATTAAAGCCTCTCTCCAAATATGGCTTTCTTTTAAACAGACTCAAAACCTTAAACTCATTGGATTAGAGAAAAGGGAATGAAGGAAATGAAGGGGAGATGGGAATAGGAAAGACGGTAGAATGAATCAGACACACATTTCTATCAGAGTAACTCCACATCATGTACAACCACAAGAATGGGAAGTTGTATTCAATGTATGTATGATATGTCAAAATACTGCATTGTCATGTATATCCAAAAACAACAACAACAACAACAGCAAAACCCTTAAAACTTCTCAGAATGTAACCTTTCAGTGGAATCCCCCTAATACCTTTTCCCCTCCTGCAAGCCCACCACCTCCCTTCCCTCAAGCACACACAGTCCAAATAACACAAAAAGGATGTCATACTCACAGATATTAACTGGAGAAACTCCTTCTCCACTCAGCCTGATTGGGAGGAGGGGAGAAGGAAGGTTACTATGGTGTCCAGCAGCTTGTGGCCATTGGCAGTGACATTTTTGCAATTACTTTAAATACATTAAAACCCCTTTATTATTTTTATTGCAGAAGTTATGCAAGTTGAAATTTTGTATTACAAATAATCTAATGAGTGACAAAGTGTGGAGATTGAGGTTCATAGGAATGAAACCTCTAATCTCAGGAACACATTTTTTGTTAAATTTGTCACACATTCTAAGGAAATAAAAGCTGATCACAGACTGGTGTCAGTTGGAAAGGCAGAGCTTGTCTTATTACAAGACTTCTCTCTCAACAAGGGACTATTGTCATATACTAGGCCAGCACTGAGGTTGTTATAGGGAGTCTGAGTCATAAAAATAATAATACCAACAATCAGTCTATTATTGTCTTAGCAACTGGTATGCACTCATAAATGAGTACTTAGAA